AGTGAGAGGCGGTTGATGTGAGTGAGAGGCGGTTGATGTGAGTGAGAGGCGGTTGATGTGAGTGAGAGGCGGTTGATGTGAGTGAGAGGCGGTTGTTGTGAGTCAGAGGCCCGGTGCAATGCAGTGGTTACATCTTGATTCATTCCTACAACTCGTCTGCCACCGTACTGTACAGGAACCCCACTCTTACACCTACCATATGCTACAAGTGATGAACGTCACCCACGCAGATGCAAGCCCGCTAGTCACATCTAGTCGAGCTCGACCCGGCTGGCTGCCACCCTCTTGCTGGTCAGCTTGACGCCGTTGGCTGCCATGTGCTGCCCCAGCGCGGCGAGCAATGTGTCCGTGTCCACAGCCGGGCGCTCCTTGCGCGCAAGCTTCTTCTCGGCCTGCTCCTGCTCCCACCGCAGCTGCATGGGCGTCTTCATGCGCTCTGCGGCCCTGGCCTTGCTCTGCGCAAACGCCTGCGCCGCCAGCGCCTTCTCGCTCGTGTACTTGGCGCGGACGGGCCTGTGCGGTGCGTCGGGGTCGTTGCGGGCCGCCTGTCGCATCTCGAACACGTCGCCGCGCAGCTCGTCGCCCAGGGTCTCGGGGAAAGGAGGGGCGACCAGGGTGTAGCTCATCGACTCGGCGCCTTCGACCATGTTGCGTGTCGTGTCGACCGCGTCGTGGGCGTCCTTGGGGTTGGCGTCTTCGCTGCGCAGCGTGGCGCGGCGCTGCTTCTGCAGCTCGCTCGCCTCCATGTTCTCGACCTGCGTGGAGAGAGGAAGCGTGGAGGGCGGCGGGGTGGCGCGCTCCTCGGCCTTGGGGGCTCGCCAGCTCTGGAGGCTGGTGATGGGGTGGCGGAGCGTGCCCATGGTCTTGGACAGCCAGCCCTGCGCGGCCTTGCCGTCCGCCGTCGGCGCTGTGCTGTCCGCCGCCGAGGCCGCCTCGGCGGCCTCGGTCTCCCAGGGCCAGGCGATCCTGTAGCGTGTGCCGGCAATGTATCGGTGGAAGATGGGCAGGCCCGTCTCGGGGTCGTACTGGTGCTGCTTGGGCATCTCGGCGCTGCCGTAGTCGGTGCCGGTGAAGGGGTCGATGCCGGTGGTGTGGCGCTCCATGACTATGTTATCGACGACGACGTCCTCGTAGATGCTCTGCCCGCTGGCCGTGAACGACGTCGCGGCGTAGGGCACCACGAGGCGGACGTCGTCCATGCCCAGCGGCATCTCGCTCTCGCGCCGGGGCCCAATGTCCTGGCCGACAGTGCTGAAGACCTTGGAGTCCACGTACGCCTGTTCAGTCAGTCTCAGATGCAACGTCGCGCCCCTGGCTTGGTCTACGCACCCTGTTGAGGCCCTGCACAATGAGTTCGTGCGTTCTCGGCAGCGCAGACAGGACCGTCCCGATCTTGCCCTTGTCTCTGCCGCGCACGACCACGACGCGGTCGCCCTTGACCATGGGAAAGTACTTGTTGTCGTCGACGACCAGCGGGTAGTCGGGCGCGAGGCCCTTGTTCTCCCTCCGCTCGCTGATCTTCTGGTGGACCCACGCGGGGATCTCGGGCCTCTGGACCTGGCCAGGCTGCACGACGGCGTACTTGCCGTCGGCGACGTTGACAGCCCGGTTCGGGCGCAGCGGGCCCAGCTTCCAGTCCTCGGCCGCGTTGCGCAGCGCCTTCTTGCGCGGCAGCGTCACGTTCTCGTGCTGCCACCTCGTCTGCGCCTGAGCCGTCGCCTTCTCGTCGTGGCGGTCCTTGATCAGCTTCTTGCGCGCCAAGCGCTGCTTCTCGTGCCACACAATGGCGCCCTGGACGTGAGCAATCTCCTTTGCCTTCTTGGCCTGGCGGGCGGCATTGCGCCCCGGCCGGGCGATCAGTTGGACCATGGCGGATGGAATGGCAGCGGGCGGTCGGGGCCGTTGGCGAGGGAAGCAGGCCAGCAGAGCGAGCGCCGCCGCCGCGAAGTCGCTCGCCAAATTTCGCGGGCGCCCGGGCTAGAGCGCGCATGGATGCGGCCGCGACTCGACGGCGCACGCCCATGGGCCAAACACTCGCCGCCGATGGCGCACCAGCTCGCGAGTCGCCCACGACACCCAGGCGCCCGCACACCATGCCGCTGCTACGGCGCAAGATCCGCTGCCACTTCTGCAACCAGCAGTCGTCGCGCGACGGCGGCGGCGGCGCGACGGCGCGCTCGTACCTGTGCCCGCAGTGCGACGCCGTCAACTACTTCGACGAGGTACCCAGCCCGCCTCCCTCGGCGGCCCTGCACAGCGCAGGCCGCCGCGCAGCAGTGGAAGCGCTCGCGACTGACCCCATCTCCAGCGCGGGAACATTACCGACCCGCCCGCCGACGACATGGCAACCGCGCCCGCCGCAGCCGTCCACTACGCCAACCCAGCCGCGGCCGTCCACTACGGCAACCCAGCAGCGGCCGCCCACTACGGCAACCCAGCCGCAGCGCGCTCCTCGTCGCCCGCCATGCCCCCCGAGCCCGCCGCGCTGTTCTGCAGCAGCTGCCAGCGCAACCAGCTGCTGCTGAACAAGACGCTCGCCGAATACCTGCCGGACGAAGACGACCCCGACTACGCGCAGTACCTCGCCTCGCTGGACGCGTACCGCAGCGAGCTCGAGGACCGCTACCCGCAAGTCTGCGCGCGCTGTCTGCCCCGCGTGCAGGACCAGATCCGCGCGGCCGGATACGCGGCGAAGGCTGACCACCTCCGTCGCATGATGGACCGGAGCAGGGAGCACAGCAGGACGGCACACACGTCGCGGCAGGCCTGGACGCTGAGGGCCATTGCGCTGGCCAAGTGCGTCTACATTGGCAGCGTCCTGGTGGGCTTGCTGTGGCACGCCATGGGTCTGACCATGGCGTCGTACGACCGCATAGACATGGACGAGGACGTTTCCTGGCGCACGTGTCTGGCGCAAGCTTTCTCGGTGCACCGCGCGAGCCAGAGCTGCGTCATGTCCGCGTACGGCCTGGACGTGCTGCAGGGCTCGCTGGTCGCCGACTGGCTGACCGTCTGGTGGAACCCCAAGCTGGCGAGCAAGACAAACACCATTGCCGGCCGCATGCGCGGGCTCAAAGCTCTGTGGTCGATCCGCACGCTCGTGCTGCTGCTGCGGACCGCTACCTTTGTGCACTGGAAGCTCGCGCCTGTGCACTCGTGGACGGTCCGTGTGTTCCACAACACCAACCTCGTTCTGCTCGTCGCCATGACCCTCTCCTTTGCCCTCACCTGGCGCACCGTCCGCATAGTCTACACGCCCGTCGCCCTGCCCGAGGAAACCTACGTGCCCAGCGCGCCCAGCACACCGCAGCGTCCCAAGTCCAGCTACAAGCCCGCCCGCCCGCACATGTCCACCTTCGACACCATGGCGCAGGGCTTCACCTCCAGCTTCGCCGTCGACTCGGCCAACGCACTGCCGCCCTCGCCCACCCTCACCGAGGCTTCCACCGCCTCCCGCTACACCGAGTTCACCACACCCGCCCGGAAGTCTGTGTACCAAGACGACACCATGGACTGGACCCCGACCGCGCGCCGCTTCGCCCCGTCCGCGGCGGACATTCTGCCGCCGCAATTCGGCTCGCGCAGCGCCGCGCCGCCCCGCTCGCCCGAACCCGTCAGCCTCTTTGCGAAGCCAGACCCCAATCCCTTCCGCCACAAGGTCCCCGCCGCGCCCAGGGCGCCCGCGCACGCCCGCGCCGACCCGTGGAAGCGCGCGCCGTGGCAGCCGCCGCTGCAGGACACGCTGCCCAATTTCTTCCAGAGCAGCACGGCTGGGAAAGCTGGGCGAGTCAGCAGCACCGGCAAGACAGGAAGCGGCGACCAGGCCAGTGACAAAGGCGAGAGTGAGACGGAGACAGAGGACGGCGGCACCGGCCTCGAGGGCTTGGGCGTGCCGAGGAACGTGCAGCGCGACGCCGACCTGTTTGCCACGCCCAAGCTCAAGTACGACTACTACGGCACCATGAAGGACACCGGCTTGGAGGATACCTTTAATTCTCTGTTTTCAAAGTAGCATCCTGTCCAAACAGCACTTGTCGATGCAGCATCACATTACAGACACTGCCTGGATACTCATCAGTCAATTCTCAAGCCGTCATGACTTTTCACATGCCTCGACACATTGAACATCCCCAATGCCCTGTCCAAACAGCACTTGAATCAATGCAGCACTTGAATCAATCAGCATCACATTAGACACTGCCTGGATACTCATCAGTCAATTCTCAAGCCGTCACGACTTTTCACATGCCTCGACACATTCAACATCCCCAATGCCCTGTCCAAACAGCACATTAGTCAATCAGCATCACATTGCACACTGCTTGGGTGCTCATCAGTCAATTCTCTAACCGACAAGCCGTCATGACTTTTCACATGCCTCTCGACACGCTGAATATCCCCAATGTAAAGACTCCGGTAACCGTCCCAAATGATCCGCTGGGTTCCATCATTCGTTCATGGCGGGCTTCGCTTGACGTTCGTACTCTCGACTGCGGTAGGCGAGCTGTTTACGACCTGGGCTTCTCCTTCTTCTCCTTCCACAGAGCCGACAGACCGACACCGGAAACCTTGACGACCTTGAAACGAACACCGGGAATATCACCCTTGGCCTTGCCCTTGCGACCGAATCCGGCGAGGAGGACTTCGTCGTTCTCGTCGACAAAGTTCAAGCAACCGTCGTTGGGGACTGGTGTCCGTTAGCCTGTGCTCGATTCTTCCCGTGTCGCCACCGCGGCTGGTCTTCATCCTCCATCCACCTCCGCCATCTCCAGGGCTCTGCCTGTGTACGTACCGAAAGCAGTGACCTTCTTTCCGTTCTTGATGAGCTGGACACGGACACACTTTCGGATAGCCGAGTTGGGCTGCTTGGCCTCAACACCGACCTTCTCGAGGACGATGCCCTTGGCGTGGGAGGAACCACCGAATGGCGACGACTTGAACGCGGTTCCCAGAAGGCGCTTCTTGAACGACAGATCGGCCCAGCGCTGCTCACGGCGGTGGTTGCGCAGCTTGCGCGCGGCGTTGAGACCTCTTGGCTTTCCTGCAGAACACTGTGAGCATGCCGTCGTCGAGCGTGCTTGGAGCAATTCGGGAGGCGAGCTGCGTACCTTTACCCATGTTTGCGGTGTTGACGTGGGAGCTGGGGACGTTGGTTAGTGGGCGACGTGAGATTGAAGTTGTGTGCGTCGCCCTCGCCAAATTCGCGTGTGCGCCTGCCGCCAAGCACTAGGTAGAATGCGGCAAGGCGCTGCACGGGCCAGAACAGCAACACCACCGGAGGAAGGAGCGACGAGCATCGCCAGCGCGAACGCTAACATGACTGCTTCTTGAAAACATTCAATGTTGCTCTGCGTGCACCAATGTGATCGATAGTCTAGCCGTCTTGTTGCTGAGGAAGCACCTTGACAACGCGACGCGATACAATCACGATACCTCATCCACCATGGCTACCAGCAGCAACAAGGCCACCAAGATGCAAGTCAACCGCCTCCCGGCACCCGCCCTCTTCGTCGGCCCTCCCTCCCACAATGCCTCCAACACCTCTCTCCTCTCGCCCACCACCGAGCCCCGCAGTCCGACCAAAGCACCCCTCGTCCGCCAGCGCTCGCTGCTCGCCCCAGACGCAAAGCGGCCTCTCCCCCCAACCACTGACGCCTACGATGGCGACCACCTGAGCCTGATCACCTCCGACTCGGCCGGCACCGCGCCCTTTGTGCGACGCCAGCGCCAGCAGAGCCGAGCCGCGGATGCCGAAGCCGCGTCGCGCGCCGAGGCCATCTGGGCCGAGATGCAGAACACGCTCGAGGAGGTCGAGCTGAGCGCCATCAGAAGACCGGGCATGACGGTGTTTGGCTCGGAGCACTCGCGTGCGCTGGACGAGCTGAGGAGCGCGCAGATTGAGCTTGCCAAGGCGTGGGCGAGGAGCGACGACGACGGCGAGAGTGCCGAGCAGCAGAAGAACGCGTCTGATGCGGGGAGCTCAGCGCCGCCGGCGAAGATGACGAGTCCGAGGGGTGGGTCGAGTCCGGGAAAGGGGGACAAGTTGTTTGACAGGGCACGGCTGGAGGAGGAGACGGAGAAGGACATCGAGCTGAGCAGGAAGAGGCGGGAGGAGAACGACAGGTACTTTGAAAAGGTCAACAGGGGCGTACAGGAGGTCGTTGCTCGACTGGAACAGGTTGCAAAGGCAATGCGGAGCGTGGAGAACGAGAGTAATGAGATCTGGGGACGCAGCGAGCATGACTCCGCAGAGACCGCAAGTGTGCACTCCACGGTGAGTCTCACATGATAGCACTCATCAATGGAAACCAGCGAGCATGGCACCGCAGAGGCCGCAAGTGTGCACTCCACCAAACCTAACATGATCAGCACTCATCAATGAAATAAACCAACATCGAGAACATCTTCAGCAGATATCTGCAAGGAACAACATCTTTGGGTATCTCCTCTTGTCCAACTGCAAGACGCGGCCAGTGTCTATTATACAATATTAAATGCGTAGTACGTGAACGCTCAGTCGTACAAGTAACCATCTCGTCACACCGACGACGGCATACCTTGTCGAAGGGCAAGCAGCGCGCGCACATCAGTCACGTACTGCAGACCTTCCAGGAGAGGGATAAGGTGCAGCAGTTCGTAATCTGTAGGGTCGCTAATCCAGCCTTCAATGGGGATGGCGTTGTCTGCAGAAGTCAGTACACAACAAGCTAGGTACTGGATCTGAAGCGCTTACCTTCGTGGAAGATGTAGCTCATGGGACTGTTGTCCAGGATCATGACTTTGCTGAGGTCCGGCTCTACCTGAGCGAGATCCTTGATGTATGCGCCGTTGCGGAAAGTGCAGTGCTGGCGGTAGTAGCGGCCGGCAAAGTACTTACGCTCGACCTCTAGCCAGTCGATGACAGGGTCGGCGTACTCTTGAACCGATGCGGTGAAAATGATGAGATTGTACCACTTGGAGATCTGTGACAGTCATCAGTCTACCGCTCAGAATCGTGTTAGTAGTCTGACCAACCTTCTTCAGAAACTCGTCGCAGAACGGTCGCTTGTGAACGTAGTATAGGATAGGGACTTGAGGGCCAATGATCTGCCCTCCTGCGCCAACCGAGGCCTGGAGTTTTACCTCCACCATGTGGCCGGTCTGGAAGCGACCACCTTTCGCCATACTGTGGATCAACGTCTCGTCGAGATCCAGGATGAGCGTCTTCTGATGCGGTCCCACCGCAGATGCTCCTTTCGCAGAGTAAGACGGCTGTCGTCGTGGTACCAGCGGGCGTGGAGGCTGCGGCGCTCGTGGAAACTTGTGCTTCGCCGCTGCAGTCATGGGCCCTGTGGGCGACTTGAGCGCGTTCGCAGCTTCTGGCGATACCTCGCTGTTCGACTGAGCCTTCTTCGCCGCCTTACGCTGCCTAAGCGCATCCTCATTGTGCAGCTTGATTCGGATGGATCGCTTTGCAGGAGCAATCTCCTCGCCTGCTGATGAGGCATTTGATTTTGAGCGGGTGTGGCGCGATGGGAAGTCAAGGTCCCCGTCGCGCGTGCGCGGTCGCTCGCCTTCGATCTCGGAGTCAGACGTGATGGCTGTCGAGGTCGATGCTATCGATGGAGACCGCCGTGTCAACTTTCTCTTCTGGGTTTGTGTAACGCTGAGGCGCCTGCTCCCACGCCTGCCCTTCTCGTCGCTGTCCTGATCAGACGAGCGCATCGCTTTTGAGGCAGCCTTCTTTCGTTGCGGGCCTCTGACAAGTCGAGTCATGTGGTACAGGGGTGCGACCACGGAGAAACTACCACCCTCTTCGTAATAGAAGCACGCGACCAGGTACTGGCCCGTGTACACAATGGGGCTGAGCAGCACAGCAACACCTCCCACAACGCCTTCGTAGACACGCTTGGGGAACAGCCAGCGCTTGCGAGGCTTTGTTTGTTCGAAGTGACCGCTCGATGGGTTGAGCAGCGGCGTCTTTTCGTCGTGCGCGGACAACGGCGCATTCGTGGTAGAGGTGTCGGTTCCTTGCGTTCTTTCCGGAACCATGGTGCCCTCCAGCTTCTCGTCGAGTGATGCTATGTTCGCGCTCGCATTCTCGGGAGACTGCGACAAGCCAGACCGAGGTTGTGCGTGTAGTAGGTTGCTCTCAGAGCCAGATCGCGATCGCGCTGGGGTAGCCGGAGGTGTGCCAATGTTTGCAAGAGCACTCAGAGAGTTCATACTCCGGCCTGAGCCATGCACGGACCGAATGTGTATGAAGGAGATCGATCGGGTGCGATGTACAAGGCGCCCGGAGTGTGGGGTAGCCGGGACGTTTGTTTGCTGGGAGGCTGGTGCCTATGCTGTGGTTGGCAAGAACGCAGCTTCAGCGCAAACACGGAGAGCACGGAGGGAGGAAGGCTACAGGCGGTGCAGGGAATGTCACGTCAAGGAGAGAAAGACCCCACGGGCCGGCGACGAGGCGAGTTCTGGGCGATGGGGGAGCTGTGCAGTGGTTCGGACGTGCAGGGGATGACGTTGGCACCAGCGCGGTCGAGCATCGGTTCCGGCTGCGCTAAACTTTTGGAACTGAGAGTCATTCATCGAGACACCCTGACAGCTCCAGATACGCCGCCAACTCGACGCACGCTCTGTGGCTATAAGCAGATTGTCGAGGCTCCCGAGTCCTACAAAAAGCATTACAGGTTCTGACATTACTCTGAGAAACATCAAACTCTCTCAGACACACCCAGGGAAGGCTGCCCCTCCACCCCACGCGCCATACAGCCGCACCATATCGTAGTCTCCAAAAGCAGCTACACCCTACGAGCGCACCAAACTTCGCCACATGGCTCAGTCGACCGTGATACAGGCGCCAGGCCTGTCAACATTCCTGAAGTCGCTCAAGACGACCCCAGTAGATCCCTCAGTGGAGCACCTCATCTCGTACCGTCACCAGCAAACGCAGTGCCCACGTATCGTACTAACTACTCCAGGTTGCTCAAGCGACGACAGATTCGAAACTCCAGACCGTGCGCCATTGCGACAACCGCGCTTCTTTTGCGCGTAGTCGGCGAGTTCAAGGGAAGGGATGCCGGAAAGCTTGTGGAGCGCATTCGCCAGGTCGGCAGGCGCTTGACTTCTGCACAGCCGCGTGAGGTCGTCGTGGGAAACATTGTCAGACGTGTATTGGGCCTGGTGCGCGAGGTAGTCGACGAGAACGCAGACGGACAGACACCCACAGGGAGCGAGGCGCCTACACCAGTGCCTCACGATTCGCTCCATCGACCGACCCTCGCCTCGAGCATGTCGACGTTCAGTCCTCTCAAGCACGCTGTTGCTGAACCCATGCAGGTGGGTGTGTATGACGGGAATATGTCAGACTCAGGCGAGCTCTCGAGACGGCCGCCTTTGCTTGCCTCGCACACCTCGTATGCGCCTCCGTCGGCAGGCCCTCTCGTCAACTCTCTGTTCGGCCTCTTCTCTCAACCTACCGACACACCCTCAGCCACAAGCACGCCCACAGGTGCTCAGTCGCCAAACGGCAAGACCACTTTCACCCAGCAAAACCTGGAGCGCCTGGGAGAGCTGAGCAGAGGGCAGACCACCCTTGACCTGAAAGGAGAGGTCATGGAGGGCATAAGAGAGCTGCAAGACGAGCTGGAAACTTCAGACAAGCAGATTGCCGAAGTTGCCCTTGAGCATATCCACGCAAACGAGATCATCCTCACCCACACAGCCTCGACCACAGTCCAGAAGTTCCTCATGTACGCTGCAAGGAAGCGCAAGTTTACAGTCGTACATGCCGAGACATACCCTCACGACAACAGAGACACACACGGAGTGCTTCTTACAGGCAAGAAGCGCGAGTCGCGCCACGATGAAGATGATGAGGACGACAAATGGAAGCCGCTCACAGAGGCTGGTATCCAGGTCTATGTCATTCCCGACTCGCACGTATTCGCAATCATGTCCCGCGTCAACAAGGTTATCCTAGCCACGCACACTGTTCTGGCAAACGGGAGTCTCGTCGCAGCGGCGGGAGCGCACATGATTGCCAAGGCAGCGAAGGAGCACCAGACACCCGTCGTAGTGCTCAGCGGTGTCTACAAGCTTAGTCCTGTATACCCTTTCGATATCGACGAGCTCATCGAACACGGCGACGCTAGTGCTGTCGTGCCTTACGAAGATGGTGATTTCGTCGACAAGGTCGATGTCGAGAATCCGCTGTATGACTATGTCCCTGCAGATCTCGTGGATCTCTACATCACCAACCTGTAAGTTTCTCACATAGTTGATCACAGAACATGTGCTAATAAACGCAGTGGCGGTCACGCACCATCCTATCTGTATCGTATTGTGGCAGACCACTACCGCTCAGAGGACATTAGCTTGTAAGAGTATCAGTAGTGTTACCGATTACAAATGCAAGGTGCCGACAGCACCATCAACCCATCTACTACGCCACGTTCTGCAACCCTTTTCTGCAAACACGCTCCACCTCTTCGTCGTCACTGTCGCGAAACACAATATATGCCCCCATGCGTCGACGCTTTGACATAGGTAAAGAAGCAAGGACCATACACTGACAACTCCATCGCTGTTTCTAGTGTCGGCGGTCCTGGTCCAGAGAGCATTTCCCATCGCATGGCAGGCCGTGACCTTCTTGGGAACCTTGAACCCTCGATCTGTACCCTAAGTCAGCTGCGGTATTCCTCATGATACAGATCAGAGAACCTACCATGCCAGCTCATACACATACCCTGCCCTGGCTCTACGCCGGCGCTTCACACATCGAAGTTGAAGCGCAGCAACAATCACACCGGCAACGGCGACTACAATGCCCAGCGTACCGAACACAATCGTTCCGTTTGAAGAGTCCGTGATGTCGAGCTTAATGAGTGTTGTGGTTGGTGTGGCGTCCACAGCCAGTGACAGGTCATTGGGGGTGCTATAGCTCTGCGAGGAGGTGTTCATGCTGTTGAACGTTGGCCTTAGTCCGATGTTTGAGATGAACTAAGATCATAAGATTTCTTCAAGGCTCGAAATATTTGCTTATACAGCAATTGCGTTAGGATTTGTGGAAGGCGCGCTGGTGAGCATGTTGGGCCTTTGGGTTATTATACTTGACTGGCATTACTTTCGTAAATGCTCGAAAACCCTACAAGGCTGAGATGGTACTCTATCGTGCCAAAAAGAGCGTCTGGTTGGTGCGGTACCAGCCTGCATGCATGCGGAGAAAGGCGCCCGTACCTAATGTCCCTCATCGAGGTGCTAGCGCCGCGGGCGCAGTTGAGGCGTAGACCCCCTGCCCTGCTCTTGGAATATTTATCTCGTATCTTGTCGCAATTGTGCACTCTGCGCTACGATTACATCTGCAGCTTCTACATGCTGTCATTCTTGAAAGCATAGCTGTTGCAGCCAAAAATGAGGCAAAATGTACATACATTAGCACCCCTGAATTGGCTGGTAAATAGGCATGATATCTGCTGCGACAATAGCAAATCATGCCTAACGAATCTGGCCATTGCTGGCCTCTACAACCCTCCCTTAGGCCCCTGAGACTACTTCCCACCTCGAAACGATCGGCAGACACCAATAGTGATCCTACTGGCCGAGTGAAGAGGTCGCGAGGTCTCAGCTCAACCTCACCAAGTGTACCAGGTGTAGACTGGATAAAGTCAATGTACATGAGCCATCTATTTTACAGATCGTGACGCGACCGCTTTCAGAGTTTAAACGAATTACAATCAGGTTTTGTTCGGTCTTCGCAAGACTGAACTTGTCACATGGTTGTGTGGAACAAACGAACAGCGTGCAACAGAATGGAAGAGACATTCTGACTCTAACAGTGCTCTCCCAAGACTCGGATTTGGCCGGAAAGATGCGAAACATGCATCAAACGAGGCTTTCTATGCTCAGAAGACACCAGGGTCATGCGCAAGAGCAAACATAATGCCATGGCAAGAGGCTCAACTTCACCTTCGTCGACCTGCCCAAACGAGCCAAGCATAGGAGTGACTTTCCATGACTGGTAGGTATGCCTAATTTCTCTTCTCGTTAGTAGAAACAACCCTGTTCCCATTTGCTTCAAATGAATCCGTCCATCTATCATGGAGTACCGCCAGCCTCTATTTACTATCTCGCTCTTGTTCATCTCTCCGTCAAATAGAACCCGAACCCAAACCCCGGGTTTCCCCACTGACCGTTAAATTCAGGAGGTCACTCCTAAGTCACTACCAGAATATCAAGTTCTGCCTGGAACAAATGGAAGGGATACAAAGGGACTCTGTGGACCATTTCTTCAACATCGACAGGTACGAGTTCCCTTCTGTTGAGCGATTCAAAGACGACATTAAGCACGTTCGCACGACGTAGTTAGAAAGCACTTAAAAGCTTGATCCTGTGCATTTCCGATAAGTGATATCGGAACTAATACTGTTCGACGAGCTGCTTGCACCAACCGGAGAGATCAAAGGCAAGTGCTGGCTTTGCAACGCTTCGCAGGCCCAGTCAAAAGACAGTCTGACCTACGTGGACACACAGACATTCTACGAACGTTGGAGGGACAACAAAAATTGCTGCACAAAGCGTGATGAACCTAGTAACGAACCGTTCGGTGTGCTTGATGACATTTCACTCTTGTTCACCGAGGAGTCTTGCAACGCGCTCGAGAAATTCCCAAAACTTGTGAATCATCGGCTAAAGTAGTTTGATGTCGCCCCACTCTTTCGACTGCACGATAGAGCGTTGTCCTGTGTCCAGCCTGGACTTAATGATTGTCTGGAACGTACGCAGTTGCTTCGTTTGTTGGATGCAACCCATCCATCAAAAGTGAACACTTATGATTCTGAAAACCTGGGCCTTGTGCTTGTGGTAGAATCGGAAGACGATAAATTGAACGACCAAGGCATTCTCGGCAGGTCATCGCTGCATATCGCATGTCACAAGGGCTGGCAGAAAGGAGTTGCCAAACTGCTGTATCTCACTAATGCAGGTGCCGGTCTAACAACCTTCTTAGTATGCGTGGACAGCAGCACCATCAGGCAGAATGATATGCTATTTCAGCAGAGCATCATTAGTGTGGTCATCTGACATGAATTTGGAGAGTTGTATACCGGCGCAGAAGATGTGTAATTTTTAAACCATTCCCGGATTCTACAAATGGCCTTGAGACTGATGGCGCCTGCCTCCTATAATCCTGCAGAAATCAAGCTGTCTTTATAGACCTGCTCAGTATAGAAGTACCACCTATCTAGTCCTGACTTCTATCACGATGTCGAATGTAAGCTAAAAGAAGAATCTTTCCAGGGCCAGTATCACTTGTCAGGTAGATGTCGTCTTCACACGCACACCTTAGCTACAATCCAACTGCCAAGATCCGTAGCACCTTGGTATTTGTTTTACTGACTTCCTACGAGATATCTATACCGACTGAACAACGTCGTCTACATCCAAAACAGTGCCGCGTTGCGTCGTGCGCCAGAAGTCGCGGTCTCAGTCGCTGCACCCGCACCCGTCCTCGTTGCAGACGCACCACTTCTAGACGCAGTAGTCAGCGTGCCTCCAGTCGATGCTTCGTCAGCTGCCCAAACGTTCATACGCTGGGTGCCTCCACACTTCACATTCGCATCACCAACACACGGTATATCGCATTCGTTCTGGTCCTCCGCCAACGTTGCGTTGTTCCTGTTGCCACAGAAGCACTCGTTGCCTAACTTGAGACCAGCCACCCTGTATCGAATCTCCCAGCACTTCTGCTTGCACTTATCCACTGTCTCTGCGGGATCACGGGGGATGAAGCGGTAATCCAGGTTCCAGGTGGCATTGCCGCCATTGTCGAGGTTGTCGTTCCAAAGATCAATGTAACAACCTGTGTACTTCCACGTGCTGACTGAAGGTACAGGGGGAATTGTGGTGTAAGCCCGGGTCACTGCGTCGCTCTTGGTGACTGGTATTGTCCAGCCATCGCTATCCGTTGTGTAACTGGGCAGCGCGAACGTGGCAGTGTAATATTTGTTTGTGACGGTGCTTGTCGTGTAGTTAACAGAGTTGTCTATTGTCTCCTGGGTCAGGACGCAGTAGCTTGTTTGATTGCGCCAAGGTTTGCAGTCGAGTCCTACGGATGGATTCCAGGCGTGGAAGCGTTTGGGCTCGGCCTTCCACTCTCGCAGCGTCTTTTCACATGTGTCTACCGAGGCGTCTTCGATGTCAGCCCACATCACGCAGTCTGCGGCGCTGCGAGGATCGTATCCCAACATTTGCGACATAGCATGGCGGGCCAAAATCGCGAAAGGGAGGAGCGTGGAGGCCTTCATTATGGTAAGAGGTTACAGCCAGACTCTCCGGGCGTAGGTTCGTGTCTATAACTGGGATTTGAAGCCTTCCGAGAGGGGACAGTTGTGTTGGATGTTACTAGATGACAGTATTCAAACACCAAAGGGCGATTATGACAACCGAAACTCAAGACAAGCTCGTAGGTGATATCTTTTAGACCTTGCGCCCTCTTCGAAGAATGCAATCTCCCGTATAAGTGCCAAGCGCAGGGCGCCTAACGGCGTCGTTTGGTTAGGAAGGCAGAAATGGGGCACAGAGGACTTGGGTATTGTACTGACCTCAGCCGTAGGTGGCTTCCTGTGAACATGATCTTCCGTGTGGCTGTTGGTACTCTCGCCCTAGAAGTAAGCGCAGCTTTTCCTCTGGCGGCTTTAGATGTTGCTCGCAATGGAAAACTGAATCCCTCCTCGATTGTCACCCTGACAAAATATGGCACAAATTTTCTGGGTGTAGTAGTCGCTTTAGCCATAGACGGTTTTCAAATTGGAACTCTGTGTCTCTTCCTTTGTGTGATTAAGACTACATCTTCTAGCCTTTGTCATTTTGTTACTCGAGATGCCAACAACACGGGGCAACTCATCCAGCCAAAGTGCCAGCACTGGCAGAGCTGATATATGCCGTCGAATACGCGCTTGAAAGAGCTGGTGAGAGCTCGAGGAGGTATCTCAAGAAGCTCCAGAGGGCGTCTCTTGTGTCACGGAGAAAGCTAAATCGAACGAAACATCTAATTGTAGTCTCCGTGACCTCTTTTGACTTACAGATGTCGTGCAGATTATTGCTGAAGACCTTCAAGTTTCGCGGCTCTGAAGCTTGTATCTGGTCATTTCCACGACATGAGAGGGCGTGTTGAGTGAGCTCTAGTGCAGGTCATGGGCACCGCGATCGATTCTTGTTCCAGGCTTGCCCAAAGAGGCAGGATGCGGCTGATCGCGCGATTCCGGCTCTGACCTCACATGTCGACAGCCCGTCCGCAACTCTTAATCGCAGACTGCGCTTTCACCTACGAATTTCTCACGTTATCATTTCTTTGGGGCGCTCGAGTAACTGCTGCGACTGTTTCCAGCCGGCCATTGGACCCTTGCATCTGTACAATCACGCCCAAGGCTCCTTTTCATCTCCGTAATCACTCAACATGGGCATGACAACCGGCTTCGTGAGTGACACGCCAAATTGTTCGTGTATCGCATCTAACATGACCGTAGCTCGGAGGCTTCACCCTCACATCGGCCGTCCTCTACCTCTCCCTCTCGCTGCACCAACAGAACCGCGCAACACAAGTCGCCCTTCTTCGCCAACAGCGCAACGTCCTCACAAACTTCTACGAGCCCAAGGAGCCTGAAAAGGAGCCTCGAGCACGCGAGGTCCCCATTGGTTTGGCAGAGATGGCCAAAGATAGGTGGAACAGGGTGCTAGAAGAGACGGTGCAGACGGTGTACAACACAGACTGGAGGAGGGTTAGGGAGAGCGCCGAGGATAGAGTTGGCACAATTGCACAGAAGATCAGGGAAAGTGGAAAGTGAGCTGAATCGAGCGAAGACTGACGAGGGAGGCGAGGTGGGCAATTGCGACGATACCCTTCTTGCAGCGACGATTTTGGAATTTATACGACAGCATAGGGTAGGTAAGCACTTCAAGACAAATGTGTGTCTTCAGGTGCACAATAGCGAACTTGCAGACACTCGATTTCATTTGTCACACCTCGTTTCCCGCGCCTCTTGTCTTCACCTTCGCACTTTTACTGTTTGTCCACACAATCATCAAGCGCCCCACTTTGTCTGCCTACCACCTCCCACCTTCTCGATCAGCTCACTGCATGGACTCTCTCCCTCACCAGCTCTTTTCCTGCCATGACGTCTCACGGCAAGGTGCTGGATCTGCTCGACGACCGCTACCTTGATCTGAAGGATGTAATTGGCAATGTCGAACCGCTGCCGACCCTTGTCCCGTACGAAGATTACGCGCAAAATGTGCTTGTATACCGCATGGACACAGACCATGAGATTTTCCTGGGCCTAATTCAGGACTTCACTTTTCGACGAGCATACGAGGTGCGCAAAGAGCTCTGGACATGGCTTGTGCAGTGGGAGGTCGACAACAGTCCACCCGTACAGCAGCCTTCGACCGCTAAGAAGGTTCGATTGGATTCACAGCAAGTAAATACGCTCTTCAAAGTACCGCCGACACCGCGCAAATCGCCCGCGCTTACCATCTTCGAGCGGCGCACGCTGGATGGCGCGCTGATGCTGGAGGAGGACATGCTGCGCATCCTGATCGACATTGTACAAGTTGCGAGTTCACTCGTGCCCAACTTTATCGAGTTTTTGTACCGCTGGGTCGACTACTACGAGGGTGATGGGAAGGCACTCAAGGCTGCGCTGAGGTGGGAGATTCCAAGCTTGTGGGACTTTGAGTACCACCCTCTTGTGCTGCCGCGAGACGAAGAGAAAGACGACGGGATGGGAGGAGGAATCGTGCGTGCTAGTGGAGAACGAGAGGACAGAGCAAGATCCGTGAGCGCGAGCAAAGCTGCGGAGCTAAGACAGAGCTCTCCTACGAAGAAGATGCACGCGCAGCCGAAACCAGACCTGGCCGCTATTGAGCTCCAGACATTCTACACTGAGGAAAGCGAGCGCCTGCAGTACCGCGAAGTCAAGTTTGGCATCCAGCCGCCCAAGCTTGAGCAAGCTCTCCCGCCACTGATCAACATCCCTCGCGATGTAAGAAAGCGCACGAAGTACTATGCGGCATGCTTCAAGTCCCGTCAACGCGCGCTGTACCTCCTTCTCGAAGCTGGACTCACCATGCGCCAGATCAACAACTACCAGAAGTTACAAACGACGCATCCAAAAGAGACACCCGAGACCGGCGATGGGGATGGTCTTCGCAATTATCAGAAGGACGCCAAGTATGCTCAAGCCCACTATGAATTGAAGGAGAAGCAGATCAAGCAGCGCGAAATTGCCATCAGCAACAAGCTCGCCGTTGAGGCACAATTTGCAGCTACACATGCGGTCCCTGATGGCGCGGCCGGTCTGCCTCTTATTCCGCCCACACCATCATATGCGAAGAAGGACATGGCTGTTGAGATGATGCAGAGAATCAAGCAGACAAGAGCGCGGAAGGATGACGGGAAGATCAACATCGTGCCCAAGCCGTTACTCGGTCTGATGAAGAGCAAGGTGTTTGAGGGCGCGCAGAAGGTGCCTGAGTTAGCGCCGCTTCGAGACTCCATGGCTGAGGCTGGGTGGTATACGAGCAGTAGTCTCACGACAAGTACGCCGCCCCAAATACCAAGGAGGCCGGGTGAGACAGTCAGCGAAGAAGTTGGCCAGGAAACGGAGATGGTGGACGACTCCAGCAGCGATGAGGATAATGATCAGGACGACAACGATGGCGGCGATGACGATCAAAGTGACGATGAGGGTGATGATGAAAGCGACGATGAAAGCGATGATGGAGGGCACGACGAAAGCACGATCACCGCTGCTCAACCAGTATCAGCTCCCACCCTCCCGCGTCCGATGTTGCCTACGCTTCTGTCCCTACATCCTTCCCCTGCGGCAGTCAACCAGACGAGCAGCCTGGGTGGTTCCGCCAGCTTTGCCACTTCAGCAGCTTCTAACTTCCAATCAGCACCTGCCCTTGACCGGTTTACGCCGCCCAATATTGCGACTTCTATGCAGAATCTGAGCACAGAGCCAGCTCAGCGTCTACTGCCTCCACTGAGTCCCCAAGCGCGACAAGCGGCCTCGAGCAGCCTCCAGCAGAACTTGGGCGTGCAAAGTACGGTATCTCGAGCAACCAAATTGACTACTATGGGGCCTGCTGGACCACCGAGTTCCACTCCCTTGGTTCTACCTTCTGCTCCGTCAAGACAACCTCAGGCCTTACACGCCCCAATGCTAATAGTGCCGGTTCGCCAGCAAGCGAGCCAAAGCCGTTATGCGACCGAACCTATTGGGCCAAGTCAAGCAGTCTCACCGACTCCATCTCCTGCAGTCGGTCCGTTGACGCTCCCAAGACAGCGAGCGTCATATCCGTCTCACCAGAGTCCGGCGCCTCTACATCCGCTACAATCGGCTGCACCGAACCTGTCGATTCCTCCACCTGCTGGTCTGCAGCGTCTGACTATAGCTGGAGGAGGTCGTAGTATCCCAGCGTATGTACTCTCACCAACGACTGCTCAATCTTCAACTACCAACACCCGGGCGCCTGTTCCTGTCTCACCCAGCTTTGATCCGGGTGTTTTCATGCATCTGCGACGTCAACAAGAGGCGGCGAGATTAGCAACAGCAACTGAAGCTACAACACAGCCCAGTCCGCTTGAGGTGCCAGATGGACAAGTCGTGCTACGATCGTCGCCCACGGTAGCTTCTGGGCTGGGCCAGCAAAAACCTGCACAACGTCAACGAATGCTGTCTGAAGTGTTCAACTCGACAGTACTCGCAACTCAGACCAAAACCACCGAAATCCTTGGAGGACGAGACGCGACTGCTGTAAGACCTGTTGATCAAGGAACAGTCTCGTCGCCAACGTCTGCGGCTCCTTCAGCATCTCAACCACTATCAATTCCTTCACACTTACCGTACGAGTCTTTCCAGCAAGCCCCAGTGCCTGAGATTGTCCAAGATCCCAAAGTACTCGACCCATCCTCCACAGCATCAGCACAATCACCTTCGCCAGCCGCTGTGCTTCCACCACCCCGTCCGGGCATCGCACGAAACGCACCTTCCCCACTCTCGCTACCTCCACCCAAACCGTCGCCATTCACCACCCTCGCACCTCAAATACTCGCAACATCGCCCTTCCTCGCCCAACCAGTCGAAACCGGAACGCCAATCCAGATCTACCTCCCCAAGATTCTCGTCCCCGGAAACGGCATCGGTCCAGGAGGAGCGTGTATGGGCGACAGCGGCTGCATCGAAACCGACGCCCTGATGCTGGGACATGAAGACTCCAGCAGCGGGAAGTTGATCCTGAGCAAGGCCATCCTCCTTCCGGTCGGTGTGTGGGAGAACACGCTACGTAAGGCACGCGCTGGGCGCTGGAGCGTGCTGGAGACATATGCCTGTCCGTCTTCACATCCTGCGAAGGGGAAGGGCAAGAGGAAGGTGGGTGATGAAAATAAAGGGTGCCATGGTTTTGTGTACGACAAGCTGGTGCAAGCGTACAGTATGATAAGCTCGGCGCCGGAAGTCAGGGAGAATGAGCTGACGAAGAGGTGGCGGACTAGTCCTGGGCCGATGACGAGCTTTGACCGTGGTGCTGTGTGGGAGGGGTGGGGTGTGTATGTTGATCGGGGGGTTGAGATGAGTGTTGACGAGCGGAATGATGCGATGAAGAGTGAGGCTGAGGCAGTACCTAAGGCTGGAGCATCGTCTTCATCAGAAGATTATGGACCGTACCGTGAGACTGATGAGGCGCTAAGGAGGAAGAGGGAGATGGAGGAATTGATGGACGAGGACGGGGAGATTGAGGAGGAAGAAGAGATGGATGACTAGGTCTTGAGGATCCTGAGCGTTCGCGTCTATTATATCGCAAGCTCTCTGTTGCTTGGGTGTTCTAGATGCATCGCCCACCATCGACCTCCAGGTTCGTTCCCGTAATGAATCTCGCTTCGTCACTCGCCATGAACACGCACGCATTGACGACGTCCTCAACCTCACCAATCCGACCCATTGGTACGTTGCCAATGAACTTTTTCCTGTTCCCTGGCGTGTCCTCCATTCCTGTAAATGCCGAGAACAGCCCTGTTCCCGTGACAAGCGGACAGATCGAGTTGACCCGAATTTGATGCGGTCCGTACTCCGCCGCGAGACCTTTCGTCGCCTACAGATTCGTCAGCACTTTCTCATCACCCCACGACCAACCATAGAGGACTTACATTCCACACGGCGCCCTTACTAGCATTATACCACACCAGCCCCGGCCTGGGCCTTGTCGCACCCACACTCGCAATATTGATGATCACACCTCCCTCCTTCCGCTCAATGGCCTGGTCGACCCACGCCTGGCACCCCAAATACACACCCTTAACATTGACATCGAACACACGCTCGAACTCGTCCTCCGTGACCTCCGTCGTCGGCTTGTTCACATACGACCACCCCGCGTTGTTGATCAGGATATCGCAGCGCCCAAACTTGTCCTTGACGGCGGCCATGGTGGATTCCCAGTCGGCACGCTTGGTGACGTCCATCTTGTGCGCGGCCAGGTTGGCGCTGTCTTTGGACGCGGTGGCTTGCGCAGTGGACTCGTTGATGTCGCAGACGAGCACTTTGGCGCCTTCTTGGGCGTAGCGGAGCGCGATGCCGGCGCCGAAGCCTGAGCCTGCGCCTAGGGGGTGTCAGTGTGGTGCTTGCACGATGGATGTGGTGGAGCTGAGGAGTACCGGTTACGATTGCTACTTTACCGTCGAGTCTGCCCATTGTGATTGTGTGGTGTGTGTTGGAGCTGTGGAAGGCAAAAAGGACTTGATTGAATGTGTCAAATTGTCAACTTGTTCTGGGCTACTATCGTGTTATGGTGTTGACATCGAGTAAGTACTTGATGTAGCGACGATCAAGTAACCGAGCTATTCACGCAGCAGCGGGCTTCTTTCCGCCGTATACAACCCAAATACGGCCATCGCATCCTACGGGTTACCAATCACAGCTGTACCGAGCCAAATCCGCAAACGCCGTGTTGCGGAGAAGCAGGCACGATTGAGGGGTAACAGATGGGTGCGCTGACGTCTGGCGGACAGCGGTGGTGGTCGGCCTAGATGCGAGCTGATTGGTGATCGGCGTGTCGGCTATATGGACTAGGTGGGGTTCACGCGCAGATGTCATTGATCCCTGGAGCCTCAAAAGGGCGAATGTGTTCCGGTTGTTTTCGTGGGGATTCTTCGATTCCGTGTTCGTTATATAGAAACTCGAGTGGAACTGCAGGCAAAATGGGTTCAGCACAAAAGTACGAGCTGCCGTTCAAGGTAAGAATGAGATCCAATGCCAACGAAAGCTCATCACTGACACCGATTAGCTCCAAAACCCCGAACTTCTTCACAACCAGTCGTGTGTAGGAGGGGAATGGAAAGATGCAAAGTCTGGAAAGACATTCGAAGTTGTTGGTTGGTGTATTGCCTCACTTCTTCGTTTATCAGAACTGACCATGTCTTAGACCCCGGTACCGGAAAGGCATGGATCGAGTGCCCAACAAACGATGCATCAGATGTCGACGCAGCCGTCAAGAACTCCCACGAAGCTTTCCTCAAGTACAAGAAGGTCAGCCCGCGCCAAAGAGCACAGTGGCTGTACAAGTGGGACCAGTTGATCCGCGAGAACAAGGAAGACATTGCCACCATCCTCGTCTACGAGACCGGAAAACCTCGCTCTGAGGCCTACGGCGAGATCGACTACTCAACTGGCTTCACATGGTGGTTTGCCGGAGAGGCAGAGCGCATTCAGGGCAGCAACTTCATCCCCGCATTACCGAACCGCCGTATCTTCACAATCAAGCAGCCAGCAGGTGTTGCTGCCGCACTTGTCCCATGGAACTTCCCAATCGCTATGATTCTGCGGAAGGCTGGCGCCGCTCTTGCTGCGGGATGCACAATGATCGTCAAGCCCAGTCCAGAGACGCCCATTACCGTCCTCGCATTGGCCCATCTTGCGCTCAAGGCCGGCTTCCCCGAGGGAGCGCTCAATGTGCTGACCACGGATCTCGACAAGACACCCGAGCTCAGTGAAGCGCTCTGCCGCCACCCGCTCATTGCCAAGGTCACATTTACTGGCTCGACGAGAGTTGGAAAGCTGGTTGCAAAGATCTGCTCGGATAATCTGAAGAAGGTGACTCTGGAGCTGGGAGGAAACTGCCCAGTTCTCATCTTCGACGATGCGAACATTGAGCAAGCGCTGTCTCAGATTTTTGCACTGAAGTACCGTCACGCGGGTCAAGCTTGCATCACAGCAAACCGCATCTACGTCCAGTCCGGCATTTTCGACAAGTTCCTCGAGCGATGGAATGCCGAAACAGACAAAATCGTTGTTGGCCATGGCTCCGACGAGAAGACGACAATGGGCCCGGTCACAACAGCTCGCGGTGCTCAGAAGGCCCTCGAGCTGGTCGAAGACGCGAAGAAGAAGGGCGCAAAGATCCACAAAGGTGGTAACAGGATCGACAACAAGGGAGGGTACTTCTTCGAGCCGACCGTGATCACTGGCGTGACTCCGGACATGGACGTTGCGAACGAGGAGATGTTCTCGCCGATTTGCACGTTCATCAAGTTCGAGACAGAAGAGGAGGCGGTCAAGAAGGCAAATGATACTTCTATGGGCCTTGCTTCTTACCTGTTCACCAAGAATGTTGATCGCATGTGGAGGCTGTTCGAGAGCCTCGAGGCTGGCATGATCGGTCTGAACACAGGTAAGCTGATCCGCAGTAGCTTGTGCATCAGCAACACAGTCCGCTAACGACGACAGGAAACTCATCGGCGGCCGAATCACCATTTGGAGGCATCAAGCAGAGCGGCTACGGCAAGGAGTCTGGAAAGGATGTGGCTGTGAACGAGTATCTGATAACGAAGACGGGTACCTTTACTCTGGAGGAGAATTCTTGAGTGGTCAGATAGGCAACAGCTGAACCGTTGATACGTCGTACATGATGCAAACAAACTCGACAAGATTGATTGGCGGTGATGTTGTTCGTAGTGTTTGTCCCAGCGTGTCTGATGGCGCGTGCGTGTGGAGTGCCGGCAACACCATCCATCGGACTCGGGCGCGACCTCACCTCTCCCACCCCGCGCATGCCCCTTCCATTGCTACAACACCGCACTACATTTTTTCAGCATGGACGTTGAAATGGGAGATGTTGGCTACGACATCGACATTGATGTCGGTGCGGGCGCTCAGACTTCAAGCGCGCAGCCCCGGCAAGCAGAGGCAGTGAGTCGCGCCCAGCGCGTTGTCCGTCGCATGCTGACGAGACCGCGCAGCAGCCAGAACAGCCCACGCAAGGTGACTCGGTACCGGCGGCATACTTCGAAGACCTCCAGCCGCAGAAGCCATGGCCCGAGTACCTGAATCTGCAAGGCGTCGGCGACTTCGACCCCAACGATCCGCTCTACTACGCCATGGAGATACTCGGCACGGAGCCGCGCGTCAAGCAGCTGCGATGGGTCAACGACCACTCGGTCAACCTCGAGTTCTACAGCGCCGACGATGCCGCCCTCGCGCTGACGGCCTTTACACACCCCGACACAAACGCCAACTCAATTGCGGCGCAGACATCGCGGCCGGCAAAGCCCTACTCCAAGAAGCCAGACAGCGCCCTGATAGTGCGAGAGGCCAACGTCAGCGACCAGAAACCCAAGGGCGCAGCCAATCGCAGCAACTACTACCAACGCAACCCGGATGTCAGAGACAACAAGCAGCGGGAGCCACGGCGCCGGCAGCCACCGAAGCGGGATCTGCTCGACTACGGTGATGACGACCAGGGCTCGAGGAGCCGGAGGAGAAGAAGGCAGGCTCACACGGAATCTTTCGAGTGCAATTGCTAACTCGAGCAGCCGCAGCGGAGACGTGTCCATGGACGAAGATTCGGGTGTAGAGAGGCGGAGGAACAACCACCCACGCAACGAACGAAACGGCCGCGACCGCCGCGACGGGCGAGACCGGCAATCAAGAGACGCGGGCAGGCTCAATGCCGACGTCGACTCGTACAGGCCGGGAGACGATGCGTACGGTATCCTACAGATTTGGTGTCCAACTATACTGACGTCATCCAGCGAATCGCGGCATGGCCGTCTGCGAGGTCGCAGTGCCTCCCCTGTCTCAGGCGACGAGGGCGACGGTCGATTCGGCTTCGCAGAGGATAGCACCAACATACGCACCCGTTACCGCAGCCGGAGCCGCAGTCGCAACGCCCGCCGCCGCCGCGACCCAAGCGCCGAACGCTGGACCCACGACCGCTCCAACTACGGGGAGAAAGGTGGCAAGTCTGACGGGCGATGGCAGAAAGACATGTTCCATGTCGACGCATCGCCCATGGGCAACCACCGCCGCTCAGACGCTGGGTCCGGCGGCTCTCTGCTCTCGCGCATGACCAAGGACGGCAGGCCTGTCAACTCACTGGCTAGCAGGATCACGCGCGACGACGACGACGAGCCGAGACCGCGATCACTAGCAAGCCGCATTACGCGCAACGGCGACAACGAGGGGTACGGGCGCTTGAAGGGCGACGACAGCGCACCGCGAGACTACGAATTCGACGAGCCCAAGCCCCAGCGCGGACTAGCCGACCGCATATCGCGCGAGGCCGAGGGCATCAACATCCGCGGGCAGGGCTCGAACGGCGGGAGTGGTATCAACATTCGTGGTGCCGCCTCCTAGGGTGAGGCGTTGGAGCCGGAGTCTGGCGTCGGAATGTTGGCAGATACGATCATGTACGATTGTGCGACCGAGGATGAGTTGCACAAAATTGTGTGGGCGAGGTTGTACCACCACTGAGGGCTGCGAGACGTGTAGAGATTTGGAAAACGGGCGATATCACTCTACTAGCACCTGCGCGAGCAAGACGAGAGCAAATGCACACCCATGCACAGACCATCATATGACCTGTCCATGTTGCCCAACGCGTGCACCTGCACGCATCGAGTTTGCCGCGCCGTCACGCACGGCACACCCATCTTGCAGCCAAGAAGCGAGAAAGTAATGGGGATATAGACGGCCTATTTTGCCAATTATGTCAGAAGTTCATACAATCCTCTTCCGGTCTCCGTGGCGCAATGGTAGCGCGTTGGACTTCTACCACCTTAAAACGGTCATCCAAAGGCTGCGGGTTCGAGCCCCGCCGGAGATGCTTTTTGCCACATTTGGCATCTATGTGCAGTATGTTTTTGCCGACGCTTGAAGGTGTACGGTAGAAGGAGCGGACGCTAGTAAATCACACGGAAGGTGAGGGCGGTTCTGTTGCATTTGGCGAGCCAGGACGACTCGACGACGACCTGGGCAGGTGTGTCGAGCAAAGCGTGTTCAGTGCAGCAGTGGGTTTAAGTTCACAGGCACACGAGACGCACGATCGCGCCTCGCCAACGCAAGGAACACTGATGTAGGTACGCGGTGTCTGGCAGGTGAAGCACGAACGTGCTTTGTGGATTACTTTTCGTCTCGGTAAGAGACCAGTCTACAAATGGCCCTGCCTTGCGTCTCTCGCTCGCTGAATGAAGTGCCTGCCGCCGAAGGCCCCATGAGAAATAATGTCAGTTTCGCATGATTTTCGTTAAAACGACCGGTCCGAGTGACACTCGTTCGGTCCATCGACGCCGCAAACGCCAGCCCAAACGCTCAGATACAAAGATGCGTCGCTCCAAGTAGAGCGACGGGAGAAATACAGCAACGGGGAAATACAGCAACGGGGAAATACAGCAACGGGGAAATACAGCAACGGGGAAATCCAGCAATGGAGGAATACAGCAGTGGAGGAATACAGCAGTGGATGAATACAGCAACGCGAGGAACAAAGCAGTCCCACAGCCAGTGTGGATGCACCCGCTAAAAGCGGCCTCGCTCCTGGACGCGCTCGATGCCGTCGGTGAAGCTGCGCGTCAGGCCAACGCTGGCCCAGAAGTCGTCGCCAATGTCGCCGCGTCTGGTCAGGCGCTCGAGCAGACTGCGGGCGTCGCGCAGCTCCTGGTCGAGCGGGGAGGCGGGGCTGGTGCTCGGCGCTTCGTCATCGGCGGTCGCGAAGCTGTCGGCTTCCTGTTGCGGTGGACCGTCAGCTGGGTCGTCGACCGGCCCATCGACCGGCCCGTCGACCGGCCCGTCGACCTGTGCCTCGCGCGCCTCGCGCAGACGGTAGTCGCGCGAGTAGAAGCTGCGCACATATCTCCGCGCGTCGCTGCTCGTGTCTGCCAGGCTGCGCCCGTGTGACAATGGAGTCGGCGGCGCGTCGGCAAAGTAGCTCGGACGCATGCGCCGCCTGGACAGCGGGTCTGCGGCGGCTTCGTCGTCGTCGGTGTCCGAGGCCGTCGCGTCGCCGTCGTCCGAGGACTCGCATGCGCGCGCAAACGTCTCGAGCGTCTCCTGGAGGGGGCGCGCGCCAGGGCTCGCGCGGCGAGATGGGACGGTCAGGTGTGTGTGCGCACTCGCGGCAGAGTGCGAGTTGCTGCTGCTGGCTCGGCTGCTGGAGGCTGCAAACGAGGCGCTCGCGGCGGACGAGGCAAACGACGACTCGGCCGTGGGCGCAACGGGGTCGGGCACGACGGTCGAGAGGAAGTTTTGCCACGGCAGGTTCGACCAGGTGCTGGAGACGCTGTTGCTGCGCTCGCGGTCGCCGAGCCCGTCGGGCGTCGAGACGGGCGACCAGGACTCGCGGAGGGACGAGACGGGCAGCGGGCCGTCGACGATCCTGCCGTGGCCGACGCGACCGAGGGGCGGGCGCGAGACGGCGCTGGTGGTGCTCGGGGGCGCCCCGTCTGCGGCATCGGGGTTGCTGTCGCGGCGGCGCGCTGTCCTGGCGTACGGCGCGTGGCGTCGGGCGGACGTCCAGCTCGAGCGTCCCAGCATGCGCAGGTCGACCGTGCCCCTTTCGTCGGGGTGCTCGTCGACCGGGGCAGCGGCTGGGCGGTCGTTTGTCGGCTCGGGTAGAGCATGCACCAGATCCGCCGCGCCTTCACGGACATGGGCGGGCGCAAACCCGGGCGTCAGCGGGGGTAGAGGACGCTCGTCTCCTGGGCCGAGCGGTGCAGGCGGTGCAGGCGGTGCGGGTGGGCGCGCATGCTCGGGGCGCGCCGCATGCTCGAGAGCGCTGGCGAAGCGTGACGTATGGCCGCCTCCGAGGGCGTCTGCGCGAAAGGCCCTGCGGTTCCTCGTCCGCCCATGGCGGATGGCCGAACGGCCCGTCACGTCTGCGCGCAACACGTCCTTCTCCTTGGCCTCGTCGCGCACAATGTTCCAGCCGACCGGGATGCCCATCGCGGCCTCGGTCAGTCGCCGCGCAAGAGAGTGTAAAAGTGGGCAGAGGGCGGCAGCGGCGAGCGGAGCAGTGCGAAATGCGGTCGTGATGGACACGCGCCTTTGCGGCTGGGGAGAGGGCTGACGGCGGCGACCAGCGAAGGGGCTCGCGCTAGTCAAATGAGGCTGAGTGGAAAGCTGTGCATCCAGCCGGGACGTCAACTGCACATCTGCAAAACGGTCACGCGCAGTCACGCTTGGGATGCGGGATATCTAGATGCAGCTGCAGTGTTGAAGCAACGGGACGGCCGTCTGCCACCGCTCCACCGCTGCTGACATGCCCCTCCTTCTCGCGGGAATCGTTGCACGGGTCGCCGGCTCGCAGTGGCCACATCGAGCTCCGACTCAGATTGGCTGCCAAGGCCTCGTTGCCTGATTCGGCCTGGACAATCTCTCGCACATGTCACGCTGCTGCGTCCAATCATCGCGCTGCTGCGTCCAATCACCGCGCTGCTGCGGCCACGTCCTGACTGCAAACCCTCTGTGGCTCCGTTGCTGCCCATGTCACCTTGACGAGCCTCGATGGCCAAGATCCAGCCGGGGCTTGAACGCATTTCAGCCCTCCTGAAGGATGCAGCCTACCCGTGGAAGTCTATTCACGTGGCAGGCACCAACGGCAAAGGCTCGGTTTGCCACTATGCCTCGTCCATGCTGGTCGGCAGGAGCGTCAATGTTGGAAAGTTCACATCGCCTCATCTAGTGGACAGGTAGGTTGACTTGTACTTCTACTGTGATTCTCCGGCTGATGGGTCAGGTGGGATTGCATCACCGTCAACGGCAAGCCCGTGCCCGAGACAAAGTTTCGCATCGTCGAGAAGCATGTTCTTGGAGTAGACAAGAAGCTCAGCATCGGCGCCTCCCCCTTTGAGATTCTGACTGCTGTGGCCTTTACCTGCTTTCACGATGCAAAGGTCGAGGTCGGTGTTGTCGAAGTCGGCATGGGCGGCAAGCTCGACTCTACCAACATACTCAACAACCAAGCTGTGTCGGTCATTACCAAGATCGCTCGAGACCACCAAGACTTCCTTGGGAATACTCTGTCGGAGATTGCTGCTCACAAAGCCGGCATCCTAAGGCCAGACGTTCCTTACATCATCAACTCTGCAAACGAGGCCAACGTTCAGTCCGTCATAGACGACTACGCACGGTCAATCGGAGCGGGCCCTCGCCTCGTATCGACCAGCTGGGAGCTCCAGAAGAGGCTGTACGATGCCAGCAAATGGCAGCGTTTGACGTCAACTTTGCTGCCATTTCAGCAGGAGAACCTCAAGCTGGCCGTGGTTGCAGTCATGCACGTCTTGGAGACCCTGGCGAAGAGGCCAGAAAACACCCCAAACTCCAGCAGGCCAGAAAACACCCCAAACTCCAGCAGCCCCAAACACATGAAGCCAAAAGACAAGAGCCCAAAACCTTTAGAGCTTGCAAAAACTCTATTGCTCAACGCAAAGCAGCACCACGCAGGACGCCAAGAATTTGTGCATGCGACACCGGTTTTCAAGGAGGCCTCTCAGAGGAAGAACCATGTTCTGGTAGACGGTGCCCACAACCCAGATGCCGCAGAAACGCTCAACGAGTTTGTGCATAGCCATCTGAGGTTCGGACAGTCCCCCACCTCGGAGCGACCGGCGAATGGGTGGCCCGTCACGTGGGTACTCGCAATGACTGCAGGCAAAGACGCCCATCGCTATCTCGCGACGATTCTCAAACCGGGAGACAAGGTCGTCACTACAACCTTTGGCCCAGTTGATGGCATGCCATGGGTGAAACCGATGGATCCCAGAGAGCTGCTGGAGGCTGCCAAGTCTGTTGAGCCAACAATCACTGGCGTGCATGTCCCTGTCCTTGGCGCGTTGCGGGCTCTGTGCACTGCGAAATACATGTCAAACCAGATCGCGCCTTGGGCTCCGATTGCGCTGACTGGCAGTCTGTATCTTGTCGGCGACCTCCATCGCGAACTGCGGCCCAGAGCTTCCAAAACATGGTGGACGGACACGACTACGGCCGCGAAGGCTGACAGGGAAGCCTATTTGGCAATTCAGGCTGCAGAACGGGAGCGCGTAAGGGCTGCCTTAAAGCCCGGGGCAAATGCACGTGGTGACTCCGCTGCTGAGGAGCGGGCGAAACTGCAAGCGGAGCTTGAGGCGCTGGACTTCGAATTCCAAGGACTGGAGATTGAAGAAATGCGTCTCCTGAAAAACCAGACCACAACATTGGGCTTGACCGACGATGGAACGGCCCTGAGCGCAGGGGAACGTCTCGAGCTTGAAGACCGGCGGTTCGCGGAACGCCACTCGACTCCAGAACAGCTCGCCGCCTATCTCGAACGGGCCGAGAAAGCTAAAGCCGCTCTTGCTCGCCAGAACGCCTGGATGGAGTCTCAAAAGAAAGCCCGGGAGGAGAAATTGGAGAAGCGCCTTGTCCGGAGGCAGCGTCTCGAAGACCGACGAGAAAGGAAGACAAACAAGAGAAAGCTCGTGAAACAAGAGAAGGAACGGCGAAGAGATGGGGCCCTGGGACTCGGAGAAGAAGCGTTGCCAAACTGGCTCCACGCAAGGCGGCAAAGTGATCTCCAATTCGGTACACAGCGTAGGATCGCCATCGGAGATCCTGACCGGCCGTCCAGTAGTTCCACCCCGTCTACGCTCCCCGACACAATGGCATCGAAGCCCACGTCGCAAGATACCGAGCCCGACAAAATGACATCGAAGCCCACGTCACGAGTTAATGAGCCCGGAGACGCGATCTCCTTCCATATCGAAGGAAACAAAGTCCTCTCTTTCCCCAGAGCCAGAGCTAGAGCACGCGCTGGCCTGACGACACGCGCCATGGGGTCCAACCTGGCCAACCGAGACACCAGTAGCAAAGCAGAACTCACCACCATCATACCCGCGCGCCAGCCGGAGCCGCAAGACGCCCTCTCCTCCCTCAGCACGCCTGATGCAGCGACATCCTCCCAGGCCGAGCGCCGCCGCCGCCAGAGCGCCCGCCTACCCCACCCGGGGCCGCGCGCGGAGGGGCCGAACATCGTCATGCACTACGCGCACGTGTCGAACCTGCGGACGAGGGGCCAGGGGCCACCGCGCGAGGAAGATCGGGTCCAGACGTGGCCGCTGGCGACTGGGACGCAGGAGGGGCATCGCACGCCTGTGAAGTATTATCGGCATGATCTCCCTGATGAGCGAGAGGGTGAGGGGAGATGAGCGGGGGGGTGTGTATACGATAGCATGCGGTTGCATTGTGTGTGGAGTTTGGAGGATGGGGACTCTGTACTTTTAGGCCTTGTTTGCATCGCGTCCATGTGAGGTGTTGATCTGAACACTGTGTTATCCTGCTTTTCGAGTGTCTCTGTCGTCCCTTATCTTTACACGTCTAGTCTCCGCGATACAATGGACAGATAGGCGTGAGATGTGTCAACTGTCTATACTTTGTCCAACAAACACGAGTCATCATGGTAGCTGCACCGTTAGCCATTCGAAAGCATACATGCGTGTACCATGGTTTCGACACAGTATTCAACACTTCCGCTGTAGAGATACCCTATGTGGGTACGGATCTGCACCATGGACATGGGCGACGGGAGCAGGACCGTGGAACAGATACAGAGCTCGACACCTCACGCCGAACTGCCTCATTCGGAGACGGCCAACGGGAGCACAACCGTGGAATGCATACAGAGCTCGACACTTCACGGCGAATTGCTGCATATGGAGATGCGTACTGCTGGCTCGTGTGGGCGATGTTCCACGTCGTTCCGTGGTACCAGAGACCCGGACGTGTCGTGTCATGTCGAGGCGCGTGTGATCGTTTCGTCTGCAGGAGTACAACCGTGGTTTGGCCACCGTCTTCGATGGTTGTGAGTCGAACATGCCCCTTGTGGCCGCCGTGGCGATTTAAAATGAGACTTCAACCGTGGAAGTACCGCAGTCGGCCACGTTTTGGGGCAAACTTGCCTTGTGCGGACGGTCTGGTTGCTAGCTCGCGTGGCGCTTCTCTACAGTGACCATGGGACGCAATCTGTCATGGGGGCCATGTTTCGCATCACGGGGTTGTCTCCAGATGTTGAACCGCGGTAGCTGTACTGCGACAGATGCTTTCGATGATAACTTGCCCGATGCGGCTGCATGTGAAGATTGTGTGGGGGAAGGCAACCGTGGAATGTTGGCAGTTTTCCATGGCTTCTTCAGGATTGCCTGAATGCGTAACTACACTAATTATAGGGGCTGACGGATAGTGCGCGGGTAATTCGCGGTCCGTCGGCGAAGTTTATGCTGCTAGTGTTTGTTTTTGGTGGTCGCAGAGATGAGTCGTGAGGGCTTGTCGCTGACGTTCCGTGGAAAGGATCGGTGAGTGTTCATAGTCGACCACGTTTTGTCATCCGGGTTTTGACAGTGACACACCGCTGTTCTCTTGCTCGTGGGACGCAAGCAGGGTCACCCTGAGCATGCTGCTGCGTAGAGCGAGACGCCAACCGCGGTTTAGCGTCTACAATCGATGCTTGTATCGTGGGTTTCCTTTCTGGGACGAGCGAAGGCGAGCTGGACAGGGATGCCGCGTGTCCGCTCGCATGCGCAACCGTGGATTGCTGACCGTGTTTGATGGATTCAAATTACTTGCCTTTTTCATGCTCGATGATGGGCTTGGAGGTGGAGTTGGTGCTGTGTCCGACCGTGAGGAGCTGACGGTCGTGCACGAGTCAAGTATAACGTCCCTCCACGTCGTACTGCAGTCTGCAGGATCCAAGGACCCCTGTGCACACGCGTGCAAACATGTATTACTGCATTCAGACACACCGCTGAACATCTTCGTATCGAACTTATCGGCCTCCACGCGTGTACGAGCGAATACGCAAATCGCCTATTGCGGGCGCCTCTGAATTCTGATTTGGTCATCGTTTCGCGCTGAATGGTGTGCCTGATCTAGGAGTGCGTGTGAAACAACGTGCGTGCTTGTTCAACGTCTGCAAAACATCTTGAAACCAGCAGCGGTGGACTTGGTTCGGAGACTGTTGTTTGGTAACGCAAGCTTCACTCAGGCTGTCCTGGTTGTGGCAACCGCGGCGCGTCTCGTGGCTGGTCACGGTTCTTCACGTGCCATCAAAGCAGATCGTCCCACGTTCTGAGACGCAACTTTTTCCACCTACGTGGCGCCCTTTTTTCCAGTAATGAACCGATGAGTCTGATATCTTCTTTTATTATTGACCCCGTGGTCAGAGCTGGGCGCCGCCTCTCCGGTGTTGGTGCTGCGCCTGTGCCGTCAGCCGGTGACGCAGCTGGCCTGCCAATTTCACATGCCAATCAGAGCGCCAGCTTTGCGACCACACCAGGAAATGGCGATAACGATGCATATGCCGAAGTCCCTGCAGCGACCGATGCACCCCAGACTGCTAGCGCCCGACCAATCTCCCTGTTAGAACGAGCTCGCAGATACTCGTCCTTCACCCGCCGGCCCAATGATGTGGTTGTCGATGAAGAGAGCGATGGCGAAGGCAGAATCAACACCACTGCACCAATAGATATCCCAACCGCTACAGCTGACATGTCCTCGAATCCGTCCCGCGCCCTCGAACACCGCTTCCGCAGCCTTGAACGCAACCCTCCCGTCTCCAGTGCGCCTGCTGCTCCTACCGCTATCCACGGCGCAAGACTCAGTACCGCAGGCCAGCATGCTGGCGGCATGTCCGAGTCTCTGCCCGCCGACGATGGCTTCACCCACCTGCGCGCGCGCATCCATGAGATCAGGGCGCTGAATCTTACCGAGCATGAACGCGCGCAGATGGTACATGGGCTGATGACCGAACGATACCACCATATGCGCCCAACCTCTCCGAGCAGCTTCGTCTCACACGATCGTCCCTTCACACCCAACTCCGGCCACTCTGTGTTCTCAGATAATCGCACCTCGTCGCCTGCCTCCGCAGCGTCTGATGTCGATACCGAGAATCCCTACAAGCTGCGGCCGGGCGACACAAGCCCAACATATCGGACAGTCGATCATCGAGACGAGGAAGATGACGAGGATGACCACGAGGAGGAGCTTGTACTGGGCTGTCAGCACTATAAGCGCAATGTGAAGGTACAATGCTACGACTGTCGACATTGGTACACATGTCGGCACTGCCACGATGAAGTCGAAGATCATGCACTGAACCGCAAGGCTACACAGAACATGCTATGCATGGCATGTGGGACTCCCCAAAAGGCAGCTGATGCCTGCAAGAAGTGCGGCATCGAGGCGGCGTGCTATTATTGTGATATCTGCAAGCTGTGGGACAACAACGCAAGAAAGAAGATCTACCACTGCCCAGATTGCGGTATCTGCAGACGTGGTGCAGGTCTTGGTAAAGACTACACGCATTGTCAGGTAAGTCTCCACAGTCTATGTAATCTCAGGCCATCCTTCTCATAGCACACAGAGATGCAATGTCTGCATTACCATATCCCACGCGGACTCGCATGTCTGTATACCACGCGCTACTGACTCCGGATGTCCCATCTGCACCGACTACCTCTTCACGTCATCTGCGGCGGTCGTCTCGATGCCATGCGGGCACTACATGCACAAGCAGTGCTACACACTGTACATGCAGACCGCGTACAAGTGTCCAATATGCAAGAAGAGCGCCGTGAAGATGGACTTGCAATGGCGCAAGCTGACATCAGCAATCGAAGCGCAGCCCATGCCCGAGCAATTTGAGAATACCAGAGCGATCATCCAATGCAACGACTGCTCGAGAAAATCTTCGGTCAAGTACCATTGGCTTGGCAACCAGTGCGACAACTGCGACTCCTACAATACCAATGAGCTGCGTATCTTGAACGGACCTGATAGTGAACAAGCTGCCAACAATCTCCTAGACGCCGATGCAAATGCGGGTTCCAGATCACCGGCCAGTGTCAGCTCTCCGCAGTCGCAGGCACTTCGATCGCCACGTTACTACTTCCAGCCTGACGAACCAGAGGAGACATGGCTGCCAGGTCAGCTACCGTCGTTTCCATTCCAGCTGCCCCAGTTCCCCAACAGACCGCGCATGCCGGATATGCCACAGATGCCGCGCATGCCCGGCTTTCCGTCGTTGCCACGCTTTCCATCTCTGCCACAGTACCCGCAGTTCCCAAACATGCCCAGAATGCCGCAGATGCCTCAGATGCCTCAGATGCGCCGCGATGCAGAGGAGATGCTCGAGCGCTTTCGCCGTTCGATGGATGCCTACCTCAATCCTACCGGGGAAGTACGAGACGAACACGTTCCATTTATCGACCTCGGCGGCGACGATAGACGCGAGACAACAGAAGCCACGGACGGTACGCAGGTCAAGGGCCCATACTTGCCCCAGTACTACTTTGAACGCTTCTCACAAGCTCTGACACGTTTCCGTAACGAACTCAATCCCGGTATGGAGGAAATACCGGATTTGAATCTGTCGGAGGATCGAGATCCGGGGGGACTGCAGTTATGGGGCGAGGATGGTGGACGCATTGAACGGCGGCTCAACGCTGAAGACGACGGCGATGAAGCCTCTGAGGATGAGAGTAGCAGTGATGAAAGCCACCATGAAGATGAAGAAGAGGATGACGATGATAATGAACACGATGGGCAAAAGCAGAAGACGGATTGGGATCTACCTGGGCATCTCTGATTGAATTGAACGGCGTTTTTGTGGGCGGCCACGATAGATCAATTTGGGGTTGAGCTGGAAGAAATAGCATAGAAGCGGCGCCACTACTATTACAAACAAATTATACCTAGAAATCAAACAACCTGATCTTTTCATTGGCGTTCGCACTTGTCATTGATGTTCGCAAGAGGCTGGTGTCGATGAAGGGGTGCTCCACTTTTCTGTCTAGCACCGCCAAGCGGCTTAGCGAGAGAGGCCCACGTCGATTTCGCGAGGGCTGCTCGAAGGCTTTTTGCGAACTTCCCAGCGCATTCAATTCAACGTCGACTAACCCACAGCCGATCTCCGTCAGTACGTACATTGCCAGCGATACTGCTGCAGTCGCCGAGCCTGTTTGCGCAATTGCGCGCAGCTCCCGCACCGAACCGCTGCTAACAGATTTCCGCAGAAATGTCCTCCACCAAGAAGGCCTCCGGCAAGACCCAGCGCAGCGCCATCGCTGACGTTGTCGCTCGCGAATACACCATCCACCTCCACAAGCGCGTACGTTGATTCAGTTTGTTGAAGTCCATCAATGGTCTGTCATAGCTGGGCGAACACCTGACCAGACCGATCACGCTGGCTTGGGTGTTTGTTCAACTGTGCGGGCATCGGGCGGAAGACTGAAGAGGAACACAAGGCTGATGCGGTATACAGGTCCACGGCGTTTCCTTCAAGAAGAGGGCTCCCCGTGCCATCAAGGAGATCCGTGCTTTCGCTGAGAAGGCTATGGTACGTAAACACCAGCGGGCACTTTGCAGGGTGCACTATGCGCGACTGCTGTGCTCATACTCCCACACTGAGGCACCGGCTAATCGATCTACCAGGGCACTTCCGACGTCCGCCTCGACCCCCAGTTGAACAAGAAGGTCTGGGAGTCCGGCATCAAGGGCGTTCCTTTCCGCCTCCGTGTCCGCATCTCGCGTAAGCGTAACGACGAGGAGGGCGCCAAGGAGAAGCTCTACTCCTACGTCCAGGCTGTCAATGTCAAGGACCCCAAGGGTCTCCACACCCAGGTCGTTGAGGACGCTTAGATATTGAACACCCTGGGAGGACTAGAAGACGAAGATGCATATCAAAAGCATGGCGTTCCGGCGGGTTGCTGAATAGCTGCTTGATTAGACAGCGAAAGGCTTGTGAAATGATACCTAAATGATATTCATGCCCGCCATGTTGCACACTTAAATGCTTCCCCATCTCACTGTGTGACTCTGTACCCCAATACCTTGACAACTGTGGAGTAAGTAACTAACTTAAAGAGCCACGCGCCTGGCTCAAAGTCGGTCCCTACGCACGCTTTGTTCCTCTTGCTGTCCTGCCAGTCCATCTGTTTGACGAAACTGCCGAATCGGGCAGGTTCACAACAGCATCGAACACCGAAGTCCCGATGTGCTTCTCCTTCGCACGAACCTCAAACACTATGCCAAGCTCAACACCGTGCAGGTAGCCCGGAGTAACAACAGTTACCAGTAACCACATATGGTTAACGAGTCCCGGACAATCGATCGGGTTAATCATTTGTCCGGCAATCATGCGGTGGCGGAAACAAATGCCATCGGTGCTGGAGTCAACTCTCAAAACCCCTTTGCGGAATGTCCTACAGCACTCAATTGATATTTCTGCGATTACTCTCCATTACGTGACTGACTGAGTGCAGCGCTGAAGTTGTGCAGCGCGGTTGCCGCACTTTGCCAGATGCTCCTTCACTAGGTTGCGGCTGCTCGAGCTGAGCCTACGCTCGCACGCATTTCCCAACTGCTGATGGAAGCTTCTCGAGGAGTACGATGGTGACGGCGCAAAAGCGAGCCTAGATCCAGTTGTGTTCAAGACGAAGGACACGATGAGGAACATGAAGACGAAGACGACGTGGAGGATGTGGAGAATGGGTACAGTCAGCACGTCGGATCCAGTATGGTCCTCGGGTCCATCGTGTCTCGAAGCTGAATGTCACCAAGTCCGGTGAGGCACGATCTGGCGACCGGTTTGGAATCCAAGCCACAACTGCTGGTGACTTCAAGACAAAACACGACATCTGTACGGAGATCAAACCTCGATGGCATGGATATTGGATTACAATTGAAGCGCTAGACGACCCCATGTAACTATTTTTTACAACATGAGGAAGACGGAAAAATGTAAGTCGTATGAGACCGGACTGTGCTTCTCCGACGACATTGGTAACGCAATCATCCCTATACTCTGGAAGTCTTCTGGTTTGAAGCGATAGTCGAGCAACCCGACGACGTCGACAGTTCGGTCTCTCGGAGCTAATAGTCTTGTTACTGTGAATGGGCGGCATACGAAGCTGATGCATGCCGGCCACTGTATAGACAAAGCGATCGACCTGTTGTGGAAGATTAGGTCTTTTACACTGTAGGCGAGGACGGCCAGATTGATGTGGATGAAGTCGAGGATAATGCCAACATCGCTCTTTCACCCCGTCCAATGGCTCCTCGGGTTGACAGCACTTATCGTGACAAGACTGGACACAGCCCCGCTACAAGGATGTCCAGATCAGTGATGTCTCATTTCACTAAGACATGTAGACTGCTGTAATTGCTGTTGGTTCGTAGATGAAAAACACGTACGCGCACTTGCGCAACTATAGTTTGATAAGTATGTGAATGTTGGAATATCAGCAAAGACCTCAACCAGGTGCACATAAGTCGACTTCGCAAAACAGTCAACACGACGTCTGTTGTATACCACGCCTACAGTTCCCTTTTTATCGGTCTTAAAGACAATGTTCACTACTCGGGCTTCCGAAATATAACCATAGAGCGGATTCCTTGGGCTCGGCCTTCGCCTGAACCCCCTCCCCTCCTCTCGGTTTCTCGCCCCTCTCGGTTTCTCAGCTGAGAGGTAGCCGAAGCAGAATTAGCCTGCAGTATCTTCAAGAAAGTGACGATCATAGCCTTCCAACATGACTGTGTCAATACTGCGAGCACCTCACTTCGAAATTTGTGCATCTCTAACTCAATAGCTGATTCTCTCTCGTTCCTAGACAGACATCATACACACACCATCGACATCAGAGAAAGCCGCTACGATGTTGCCGCAGTCAACTTCCACCAGTCGTGCCTATGCCGCGCAGTCCCATCGAAGCATGCACATTTTACCTTCAGAATCGGTAATAGCTGGAGCCCAGAACTGTGGAGCTCAAAGCTGTGGATGAACGGAAAATCTCACCGCCACTGGAGATACCTTTCTGAACGACTGCCTTGCACTTTTCGATGGCCGCGAACCTGGACGTGGGACGTCAGATCTATGTATCTAGTATCTGCGCAGATTTACACACGGGAGGCGTGTGGTAGCACCCCGATACTAAGTCGCTCGTTGTCTTCATGAAGTCGCAATCACGGAGCTGTGGAACCTTTACCGTGTCGTGTCGGTGTCAAATGCCAGACGGTCAGTGTATTGCCGAGAGGTCTGTCGTCACGCTGATATTCCTACTGCGGGTCCGTGGAACGGATGAGGTGGTGTGATCATCAGACACTCGTCCGCCTAGTTGTACATTAAAGGTGTGATTAGTAGTCTACTGTGTATCCGTATAAGCAGTCGCACCTGGCGGCCACAAGCCTGGACAGTAGAGGTATGACGCTTCCCTGACATTGATCTGCTACAAGCCGGTGCATTTCACAATTTGTAATTCTGGCGTCGCCTCAGTCTCGTGCGCTCAGACTCCATGGAATGTTGATCATCAGATATCGCGAGTAGAGCCATGAGGTATGCGTCGGTGTGATAGCTGATGCTTCAAGACGATCAGCTTTTCCTCACTTAAGGCACGCGCAGGGAAGCCCTCAAAAGAGACTCCAGAAAATAATGTATCTGATGGCTGCGGATGGCACATTTTGCACAGATCCACATCCAGCGACTCGGCCGAACACACTATACGTGTCGTGGGGCTGCGCGACTGAGGCTCTGTGTAGCAACTCGTACGCACCACTACAATTGCCGACAAGTAATGCTACTCGTTGTTTATTTGACGACCAAAGCATTATCGAGGCTCAACACTCCTGACGTGTCTTGCAGCCAATGTTCTCGATCGTCAGCGCGAACGCTGCTGCACATCAAGCGAACTCCTCCAGGTCCGCGGAGCCCTCGACCCCAGCAGGCCCAGCCGTCGACGATGCTGCAGGCTGCAGCATTCCTTCGCGCGGATGGGTAATAGCTGATAATTAGTCTCCTGTCGATCCGGGGAAAGGATTCTAGATCAAGGAAATACCCATGGAATCTGATAGCCTAAAAGAGGCGTTGGTGGTGGGGGCGCAATACATTAGCTACTTTGTGGAGGATTCGTGTGCCATGTCTAGATGATCCAGGACTAAAGGAGTTGCGATAGGAACAAAATCTGTGTGTGACGGAAGGACTGCAGATTGGCTGGGATGATTTGTCGGGAGACGGTTCTTCAATGTGCGGGCACGGCGCGTTATGGTGCCTGAGTGCCCAGACATGATGCGTAGAGAGCGAACAGGCTCCCACTGGAAGACCGAGATGGCGGTTCGGCTGTGCAAAGACTTGAAAGTATTGCACGAAACCTGATTCAGCTTGTGCTGTAGTGGGAGAATAATGCCCGACAATGCCTTAGGCAATACTGCGACGCCCGTTACTCAAAGGTGAATATGCGCCGCACGTGCATGGAGGCTGAAGTACTTTGTGGCCTGGAGGCACTCAGTCTGCGATCTGCGATTCATCAATCAACATCGTCAACAAAACTTTTCTGAGACATGGCGGCTCGGTGTCACTGTCAAAAGCTTGTGCCCTTTTGACTCATCTGATCGGCCTTGAGCCTCATCAGCACGCCACGTCAAATTTTCACCATTCCGTCGGGGAGAGATCTGATTCTCCGATACGGCGCAGCGGCGCAGGCCAAAGCTTGTCGCAGTCCTTCGCAATCGGACCAAATGCTGCATGCAACGTGGACAAAACTTGTTGTTTGTGTGGGTAGTGCCTGCATGTTCCCGTCTCCCATCTACCGAGTCGGTGCTATGGTGGACCCTGTGGGCGTGATAAAGATAAAACTGTTGAAACCCCGTGGATCGTAAATCGTGATCGCTCGTCAGGCTCGGAAGCAGCCGCCGAGCCCCTGCTCCTCGTTCTTTCCTGGGATCATGCCGACGTGGTCTGAGACCAGAACAGGATTTGCCAGCATCGCACGAATCACCACTCGCCAAGCGTCACGCCTGCAACACGCGATGACATAATGCATCGGGATTGCCAGGAGTGGAGCTTGGGTGTCGTGATTGCTCGGGGCCCGCCGGCGAGCATGGAGAATGGGCGATATCCGGGCTCCGTAAGTGGAGCCGTGGGTGAGCTGGCAGGTCGGAAATGGCCAAGCAAGATTCAAGGAGTCGAGTCAACAAGGAGTCAACGAAAACTCTGCCAGGAAGCACATTGTCACAGTCGATCAACAGATGCCCGGTGCTGGTGGTGAGGCAATTCGAGAAGCAGACTGACGTCGCGTGTTGCGCAATATCGAGTGCCCGCCGATCGCAGAGCTTGTCCGAATGACTGCTGTATGCTGCGTGGGATGATTGCGGATGCTTGCTTCCTGTGACGCTAGTTGGCGGCCCATCCCCGCATTTGCAATAGCCACTGAGGTGCAGGCCCGCCTTGGAGCCTGAGGTGCGCCAGACGTCAAGGGACTGCAGCACTTGGGGCCCAGAGAACCGGAGCAGATACGGCGCCTGTTGGCTGCTACTGCTGCCTCCCGTGTTGGGTCGTTGAGGATATCTGCCGTTTTGCCTCCCAGCGCCGTATGAAGCGTTGAGCGGTGCTGAACGTCTGGATCGTCGCGAAAATTCTACCTGGTCTGTGTGAGAGCTCATAGGAGGTTTTGACACCAATTTGCACATTGTGGTAGGTACAGGGAGTTGGAAGAGCTTGGGGCCGGAGAGAGGAACGACACCATGGGCCTGGCCGCTGTTCTGAAGGACGCCCCCAGAGGGCCAGTCTCCTTGCGATCAGTCACCATGTCACGTGCGGAGTTTCACCCGGATGCGCGATGACCGTAGTACAGACCGGCGTCGGGCAGGCGGTTGTGGTTATGTAAGGCTGTCACTGGGGACGTCACGGAGTTGCAAGAGAAGAGCGATTTTGTGTTCAAGCTGCGCAAGAGTGGATCTCGTGGTTGCGCTTTCCATTGGAATGCTGAAGCAGTGACTACATAACATGCTAGAGTAGAAAACCGGTGCGTCATGCAACGCCCGTATGAGTGAGGGGATATCTGCCAACAAACACGCTACGCTATACAGCATAGCAAAGCAATTCACATCCGTGCCATGCCAAACACCAGGCTGGTAATGCTGGTAAATAAACAATGTCCCCAAGCTCACGCTTTCCGTGGGTGTCGAGGTGGATATATGTGCTTTTGATCGTACACCGCTCCGCCATGCGTAAATAGGAGATGATACAAAGGTGACGCAGAGCAGCGATCGATATGATGAGTAAACTCCGAGGGCCTCGCCGGGTCCGATGGCTACAAGCCCGAGCCCGAGGCTGGGATGCAACCCAAAAGCAAAGGATATATGCGCCGAGTGTCGTAGTCATCCGGCGTTCCGTGATTTTCGTAATACCAAACTCCAGAAGATGATGAGACCATTTTGCAAGAAAGAGAAATAGGAGAGCAGAAGGCCGACTAGTATTGCGTGTACCTCCTCTTTTGTTCTCGTGTTTGGTCGAACGATCGCATGTAGTTGTTTAGTTGCGATGCCGCTTGGGCGGTGATGCCTGACTGTGTTGTCGAGGAGTTTGACGACAGCGACGAGCGTGATGATGATGGCGTGAGGCTACGCTGCCCCACTTTTGGTGGAGCAAAGTACGAGCCATTCGCGGTGGTGCCGTAGTGGTACGGACTTGAGTGGCCCATGTCGAATCCTCGTGATGTTGATGATGCTTGATACTGCGAGAAATTGACAGCCGGAGGAAGATAGAAGCCGTGGTTGGAGGAGGATGTGGACGAAGCAGACGACGAGAGTTGTGCGGACTGCTGCTGGCCAGCCTTCTCGAGGTCTGCTAGCCTGCAGGCCTGCGAGCAGTAGGTGCCGCCCTCCATCTGGCGGTCGCAGGAGAGGCAGAAGTCGTGAGACCAGTCCATCTGGGAAGTCATGGTGGATGTGAGATTGAGGTGGTGTGGTGTGGTGGTAGAGTAAGCTGAGACGCGGACGGGTAGTCGGCGGCTGGGCGGGGCAAGATGGTGGTGGAGTGCTCAGAAGGGGAGAGGAGAGTGTTCCTTATGAAGCAGTGAGTGCTCAGACAGGAGTCACGGAGCGTTAGAGTCTTCAGCGGAGCCTTGATGGAGACGGGTTCTGCGGGAGCAGGCGCAGAGATGGTCTTAAACCAGCGCTCAGGAACATGGCATACGGCCGGCGACCTATCAGACCCTGGTCATGCAGGCTGCTAGTCAACAGGGTGTCCCACGCACCTCCGCTCAGGATACAGGCGTGCGCATGGACCCACGCAGCAGCCCAGAGTATTTCTCAGGAAGCCGCCGCAAGCTGTACCCTTGCGAGCCCGCTTGCTCATGCACCCCTCTTTGCGCCTTAGGCCCTAAGAGGCAAGGCGGCGGTTCTGTCGAACAGGTGCAACACATCGTCCTGCGATTCGCCCAGGCGCCCATTTGGCCACCACGGTGCTGCCAGTTGGCCCAGCACGCTCTGCCTGCGCGGCATCGATTCGCTCAACGAGGGCGATTTCGCGCACCCGCAGGCTGTCGAGCGCTGCATTTCGCGGTTTTTCACGCATGTGCTGCTGCACAGCGGTCAAATTCTGCACTGGCAACTCCAGCCGGACCTGTGAGCACGGTGATAGGCAGACTGTCTGCGCAGCTTCTCTCTCGTGTGACACCACTGCCAGAAAGCGTGATAGCAGCACGACCAGCCTCCCAAAATGACGAAGATCCAGTCTCCACTCGCTAGTCATCTGCACTTCCGGACATGGCGGATGACGTGCAAACTGGGGTTCGGACGCTGCCTTTCCCAGAGTGATCTAAACAGGAGCAAGCTATCGAGTTTCAGCGATCACGCTGCAGGCCTAAGTCGCCGTGGGGTGACTGCACGCTTCGCCCCCAAGGCATCACTTATCGAGCAGCTGGCGCAGCGAACTGCGTGCCTGTGAAACGTTCATACCCTCGTCCTTCTAAGGGACGTTGTGCATGAATAGCCGACTCACTCAACTGATCCCCGGCGTTCGCCATATTGGAGCTGATGGCAAACAATTGCAATCCGGACAGCTCACTGCCTCAGCCCTGCAGTTGAGCCCAAGTTCCACATCTTACGGAATTCCGTGATTCGTCTGTCGTAAGCTGAAAAAATTCCTGCTGGAATGTGCGCAGTACTATCTCAGCCTCGTGCAGTCTGTCAAGCCACCGCTCATGGCGACATTTGACGACGTTATCTGTCGCCATCACGGCAATGCTCGCTTTCGGCGCCAGGATTATTTGTAGTTACCATTTGAAGCACATGATGTGGGTGAGTCTAGCCTACGCCGCAAGATCGGCGTTGAACAGGCCGGGTCCTGTTCGCCCCTCCAAGCACCCTCCAGCATTTGATGTGCACTTTTATTCCCGTGGAGATCAGCACGTTCGCTGCCTCATGAGGGAATTCTGCGAAAGGAGCGGTTCTGGCTCTCGTCTGGCTATCGTATTGCCCTCAGCGTCGGCCATACTCACGCGCTAGACATCTCGTCGTCCCGCTTCAGGCACACGGCGAGGGCGAAGCATTATTGATCGGTGGTCAGAAAGGAGAACTGTTTAAGGAGGACGCCTATTTGGTAGGCCTCGCCGCTGTTCACGGCTACCTAGCGACCTGGTCAGGATCCTCGTCTCTCAGCGCGCCTAGAGCACTTTCGCTCCAGGAACTTGAAGCGAAATAACGATCATGCTCGTTGCCTGCCCTCTACCCAAAGGGGTGATGGACAGTTCTGTCTGTCCCTGCAGGCTGTCAAATGCCTGCAAAGTTTAGTTCCCACAGGAACGCCAGAGGAGTGACTTGCAGATGACCTTGGAATGCTCATTCGTCCGTCAGATACGAGGACGGAACCCCCACGGCTCACCTTCAAGGTTCAGCACGCAACCCTTACGGAGGGCATCGTGATGTCGACAGGCTGCAGGAACGGTAAGCGCAATTTGCCGTTATCTTGATATCAAATTGAGCGCGGTTAACGAGCTTCACGACTCGTGAACCCCTCACTTTGGCCTGGGCGCTATCGAGCGAGAAGCTGCCCGTGAAACGACTCAGTAAAGACCGCGTGGCACGTAATGCAGAAGCAGCGCGTGTCGGCCGCGGTTGCCAGAAGGAACACCCTGGAGACGCACAGATGTGCGCACGCATCTACCCCATAAATGCGGCAGCCACCAAGCTCGTTGGGATATGGCTTGCGACATATCAGTGGAGAACCATGCACTCAACCACCAACAGTTTTTTGAAACGTTGAAGGATCTCTTTGGACGTCAGTCCTGGAGATAAGCTCAGCATTGTCCAGTCCGCAGTTGCATGACCATGCAGGGCTCTGCGACTCAGCCGGACGGGTATCACGTAGCTGAGTACCTCCAAAGAGCGCTCTATGCAAGCAACCTCGCTATACGGTTGCATACCAGCACAATGTGAAGGACGGCGAGCTCAGACTAGCAAAACCTCTCTCCTGCACAGCCAAAGCACAAATGATTCACGCTTCCCAATGCAGTGTCACCAAACACCGAAGCACGGATGTCCATCCAATTCAAGCAATCAATAGCCAGCCTCGCAGCCTCGCCTGTAGCGTGAATCTCCCGACTCGGGCCGAGCTTCCTTCATCGCTCCCGTTCCCGTTGTAAGGGCACCCTGACCCGTGAGGCAGAAGCGTGCCTGAGCGTAAACCTGGCGGCCTCACCCGATGCAAAAAAAAACTCAACATTTGTCAATCGGCCCTTGGCTGCCCGTCTGTTTGTCTGTTGTTGCTTGAGGCTGAGGCGAGGCTGGGAGGCACACGCTGCTTACGGACGCTGCGTTTTGGCCCTCCAAGACGAAAGGCGCGAGTCGATTGCGCAGTTTCGAGATTGATGCCTTGCAACACATCACTCAGTACAGCGCTCCGCCTGAGAATAAACCGCACATCATGGAGAAGTCGGGCGATCGCGGGTCTTTGCCGAGCACATGATGTTCACGTCGCCTCGTCAACAAAACTTTTCCATTTGCAATCGCAGACAGCCATCACAATCCCCAATTGACACTTAAAAGCACACAATGGCACTTCAGCCCTATGCCGCCGAGCTCAGCCTCGCCCTCGCCGCCGTCCACAATGCCTCAGTTCTGACCAAATCCGTGCTGCGCTCGCTGAAAAATCACGTCTCCGCAGAGACCAAAGCCGACGACTCGCCGGTAACCATAGCCGACTTCGCAGCCCAGGCGCTCCTCATCAGTGCAATCCATGCCATCTACCCGAACGATCAATTCCTCGGCGAGGAGAGCGCAGACGCGTTGCGCTCCAATGCGCCGCTAGCAGACCGCGTGTGGGAGCTTGTGCAACGCGCAGAGAGTCTGCATGCAGAGAGAACCCAAAGCGGCTCTGCTCAGGGTGCACAGACACTTACCTTCCCGGCCAGCAAAGAGGAGATGTTTGAGCTGATTGATCGTGGCGGGAAGGGCGAGCAGACTGCTACGGGCCGTGTGTGGGTCATGGACCCTGTGGATGGGACGGCGACGTTCATGCAGGGCCAGCAATATGCTGTGTGTTTGTGCTTGCTGGCTGATGGCAAGCAGGCTGTGGGGATTATTGGGTGTCCGAACTTGGCGTTTGATGTTGAAGGGCCGCTGGGACAGAGCAGGGTGCATGAGGATCTTGTTGACGAGAAAGGGTTTGGAGTTGTGCTGTCTGCGGTCCAAGGGCAGGGCACATTCGTTAGGAGGATGATGGAAAACGGATGGGGAGAGGCGAGGAAGGTTAACCTGAGTGAGTTGCCAGAGAAGAAGCTTGAGGAGCTGAACTTCGTTGAGAGCACGTTGGGAAAGACCAGTCTCTCGCAGGAGGAGCATAAGGCTGTCTGTGAGCAGCTCGGTGGGCAATGGCCAGGCACTGTCATTTGGGCACAGCAAGTCAAGCATGTTGCACTCGCACTTGGGTCGACAGACGTGATGGTTCGCATTCCCAAGACTGTCGACAGATTCACTTGTGTATGGGATCATGCCGGCGGGCACATCCTATACACGGAAGCCGGTGGGCTAATCAAAGACTTCCACGGCGGAGGCATCGACTTCACACAGGGCCGACACATTGCAGGGGAGCGCAACTATGGCATGATAGCCGCGCTGCCATCCGTCTTCGAGAAGGTGGAACGGGCCGTGAAAGATGTCATCGCCCGGAGACCACAGTGAAGCGGAACTGCAGGTCGGGAGGATTTCCACGCAGTGCAAGGCGAGGGCTTGCTTGCTCGAGCCGAGTTGTACAGCTGTAAGACCGAGGCTGCACGGTTTCACAGAGCCTCACCGGACGGTCAGGCCACCGCTGTTATTGGCTTGTTCATGGGGGCACCGCAGTAGTTTCAGAAGTGACAGAATGTGGGGTAAATCTGAAATGGACGCTCGCATGAGCCTCAGCTGAGCTACAGGGTCTGTTTCAGGGGCGTGACGAGTGTAGGAAACACAAAATGCGCAAGTATGCAGTTGGCTTATGTCCGAAATGCAGACCGATGCTGCGCCTAACCGTGAACAATCTGCTGTGCAGCTTCCGTAGCACAACAGAAAGGACTCGAGACGCCTTGCTCGGGCTTGCTCGTTGATTCGCAGGATGATTACTGCGACTGTCGTGTCCTCCTGAGGTGCAAGTCTGCGTTATGCATGCACTGAGATAGTCATTGATTCGTTGCAAAGATACCGAAGCTGTCGTGTTATTCGAAGCTGCATTGTGTATGCGCTCAATTACCGCTCAATTACCGCTCAATTACCGTCTGATCGCGCAGGATCGTGTCTATGCCGCACCGCCGCCGTTTTTCCTGAACGAAACCTTCTCTACTGCGACGTTCTCATTTCCTTCCGCGTCTGTACGTAGCTGATAGACGTACAGCACGAGGACATCACCTTGGACCTGTTTCGCTGTTAGCCGGTCGTTGCACGATGGCTTATTGATCGTCGCCGCTGAGGGGCAAACTCACGTCCATAAGCACGAAGCTTGGTGTAGGATCTTCGTCTTCTGTCCACCACCCTGTCGTCATAGCACCTGTTGCACTTCCTGGGTTCACGAAGAACTTGCCCTCCATCTCGTATGCCTCGAACTTGTGTGTGCCGCCCCATAGCAAGATGTCCACGTCCATTTGCCGCGCTGCGATCAGCAAGCTGTCGCCATCGCCTGGCGGTATGATTGTGTGACCATGTGTGAAGCCTATGCGCAGCGATCCGTGGGTCACGACCTTAGAAAGGGCGAGGTTTGGTGCTTCGACGTCGAAATCGCCCTTGACGATCTGTAGGTCAGGCGCGATGCCTCGCAGGAATTCGTATGTCTCTCGATCTGTAATATTGCCAAGGCAGAGAATTTGTCCGATCTTGCCAGGCGCAAGGAGCTTCTTGAACTAGGGCGATTGTCAGTCGCGGCGCAATCGGGAAGAGGAGACCGCGGGGTCATGGGGTAGCTCGTACCTTGGTGGGAATGTCCTAAGCAGCCTGTAAGTTTGTGAGGCCTAGCATTGTATACTATTTGCATGTGAACATACTGCAGCGCGATCTGGGATGAAGAGGTCACCCAGGACCAGCACGAGTCGCGAAGCCATTGTGGCTGCCTAAAGTCCTGCTGAGACTATTCCTTGGTATGATATGAGAGCGATTATCCAGGCGACTCAAGATCGGTAAGCAAACAGAACAGTGAGTACTGTGAATGCGAGATGGTGGGGTTGCGAGTGGAGAGGAGGCTGAAACTTGGGGAAGCTATCTATGGGATGCCGTCACTTACCTAGGTGTCTTGGCTTGGCAGGCACAGCAAACGCCGATTCCACATTCGTCATCTCCAACAACAACCTCCCAGACCCAGCATGATTATTCAACCGGCCACGAAGGCTTCCGTACTACCGTCAGCTTTAAGATCTGACGAGACTTTGCAACTCGAGCCCTACAGGCGGCGGCATGCTGGTACCTAGACGGGAAGGTACTACCGGTAAGTGGTCCAGTCGAGCGCAAGTCTAGACTGCCACATGATCGAATTCTTAGGGCCTGTCTTGATCGCAGTAGATTGGCTTCGTCTGATATACAGCCATTGGATGGCTGCAAATAGGACATTTGCATTGCTCATCTGCATAGTTGAATGCAGCATCCTCTCTATTCATCTTTCGTCGCATACGATCACTGTTCACTCGTATATCGGTCTTGAGATCTGAACTCTGGTATCATGAGCTTACCTTTCTGTTCCCGTGCTACTACAAACACTGGCTTGTGTATCTTACAAGATACCTTTGAAGCATCAAGAGAGCCACAGCTGGTCGCGGAAATGGTACAAGAGCTGGGATTTGGACTATGCACCACGTAGCAGACTACCTGAACTAGAACTACCAAGAGCCACCCTAGCTAGACTGCTCTCAATCCGATCTATGCACGGCGACTTTGCCTGGTACCACCAAAAGTACAGACACAACGACGCAACACTCACCTGCTCATGCAAGCGCAACAAGATGCCAGAGCACCTTGTCCTCTGCTGCAAGACCCAAGGGTCCTTCAGCCGATGGCCATTCCGACTATCTATACCACCATCCAGCCGTAGCGAAGGCGTAGCATATACTAGTGTGCTCATTGGGGATCCAGGGGCCTTTGGAGCCTTCACCCAACTCACTCAGTACTACACCAAGGTCTGTCCCCGGTAGCTCTCCTACCTTGCAAAAGCAACAAGCAACCCTACTCCACCCC